AAAATTATTTGTTTGGAAATGCATTTATAATGTCTGAAAGCTTTATTGGTAAAAATATTTTGGGATTCTAAAACACTTGAAACGCATTGTTAAAGAAATACCAGTTATCTGTTTTTTTTTTTTTTTCAGGAAACACTTCAAGTATTTTTTTCAAACATTATTTGTATTTTTACTAAAAAATTTGGTTTTTCAAAAGCTCTTTCAAACATGCGTAAAAACCACATGTCAAATTATTTTTATAAGAAGCACTTTTCAAGTGTTTGTTCATAAAGCAAGCACTTAGACATTTAATAAAAATTTAACATGTTTCTAATGAAAGCACTTCTACTTATGAATATTTTATGACCAAAAGTGTTTTCTTATAGAAGCAATTTCAAACGAGTCATTCTCTTTATTTATTTTTCCCTAGAGTTTGAATGGGATTATGTGTTTGAAAAGAAAAGTAGAAAACCCTACTTTAAAAATGCCGTTCCACTAAGAAAGGGCAATTGAATCCTTTTTCTAATTTCTCCTTTGTAGATAAAACCAAATCATATACAATAATCTCTTCAATAATCTGAGTCTGACCAAAACAAATCAACGAACAATTGAGTAATCAGTTGAGATATGCATTCGAGAGATAACCAAGGAATAATGCTCCTAATTTAACTTGACAAGTATCATAAAAAAAAAGTTAGCCTCGCAACAAACATGTTTCACGTCAATTTCAACTTTTTTTTTTTTTTACTTCAAATCAAAGAGCTGTGCATGACTTGGGGTCCAAATCAAGAGAGGGAAAACCTCTAGTCAGTTACATAGCAAGTTAAAATGCACTTACCAAAAAATCTTTCAAAAAATATGACAATGAAACATATCAATTATGTCTGTAGTTGTACAATCTTGTAGTCAATCAGATTCTGGATTTAAAATATCTTTGTCATGATAAAAGAAGAGAAGAGACGAGAGTCGAAATCGACTTTTCAAAAGGAGAGAGAGAGAGAGAGAGAGAGAGAGAGAGAGAGAGAGAGAGAGAGAGAGAGAGAGAGAGAGAGAGAGAGAGAGAGAGAGAGAGAGAGAGAGAGAGAGAGAGAGCTTGGATAAGCACCAGGATCCTCGCCGGATCCATGTCATAGGGATCCCGCAATCCTGTCCGTTTATTGTATATCGTGCAGTCATTTTTCGTTAGATACTATTTACTTTTGAATTTTAAAATTTAAAATTTAAATGATTTCTGACCGTACGATATACGATGAACGGACAGGATTGTGGGATCCCTAGAATCCCTATAGAATGGATCCGGCGAAGATCCTGGTCCCTTGGATAATCCTTCTTAGCTTGTGCCCCACTCAATAAGAACTTAATTATATAATTTATATTATACTAATTACCGTACTTTCTCTTCTATTTAAAGTCTTTGATTATCGCGAATTTTTCCGAGGTTTATGGCCAAATTTTCCGCTCGATCTAAATGTTAATAATTTGTAGCATCATGGCAAATTATACCACTTGGGCATATATAGAGATTAAAAGCCCCTTTGAGATGATGTGTGCAGAAACTGCATGCCTTGCACTTCGAAGCTCAACTAACATATACATATATATATATATATATATACACACACACACCCATACAGATTCTCAAAGAGAAGGGATCAAAAAATGAGAATTAATTGCAGGGCCAACAATACATCGAACTTTAACGAAGTGCTATTTTTCAAGTTGCATCTCATAGATCGTTTTTGCAAAATATTTGTCAAATAAAAAATATAGATGGTTCGAATCGTTGAAGTTCGAATCTCTATATACACATATATCTAGGGACCCAAATTGTGTGTGTGTGTGTGTGTGTATATATATATATATATGTAAAGGGTCACATAAATATCAGATGAACGTACATGATTGAACATCACATCTTGAATTTTACCTAAAGGCAATAAAGCATCCCGATGTGTACACAAAATATATAGGTGAAAACTGAAAAGGAAAAAAGATGAGGCTTGAGAAACAATGCTACTGTGGTGTAAAAATTGGTACTTGCTCAAAGGACTCCTTTTCCCACGTGAGGTTCTCTGCAACTATTATTTCCTTGTATAAACCTTGGTTAACAAAGAAAGTGACAGACAGGTAGTTCCTGTCTTAGTCCCCCACTACTCTCCTGGCTACATTCACCATCCCCCCTCCTTCTGTAGTAATTCCGGTGAAATGTCTGGTATCGGAAGTTTACCAAATTTCAAATCTGCTTTTAAGAAGTATATTTGTTTTCATATGGTCAATTGGTTTTATACTAAAACTTCAACTACTTTTATGGTATTAGATCTGGTTGTCACGCGTGTTCGACGTCACTCTTGTGCAGCCCACATGTAAGGTTTGAAAACTCGTCATACGTGAGGGAAGTGTATGAGGATGTGAAGAAATGTCTCACATCGAAAATTAATTTACCAAACTCTACATGTTCTTATAAGAAATTGTGTTACTCACTGCATTGTTAATTCGGTTTAGGGTGAAATATCAACGTCTTTCTTCTATTATTTCTCCTTTATTGCATTTGGGGCCGGGATGGGCGTGTGATAGTTTGGACTCTACCTGTTCGAACTGTTTCCTAGAACTGGAAATTGGATTTGATTCTACTTGCCAAGTTGCCAACCTTTCGATAAGGGCTGCATGAGGGCTTTGGTACAACAATGTTCACTCTACGATCTAAGGTCCCTCATAAAAATAACATACACGTTATATCATCAGACTAAATTATAAGTGATCGTACGTTTGCTTCATTATAATTATTTGATTTGGGCGTATATTGTGGTGTCTTAGCCAAGTATTAATGAGATATATCAACTTTGATCGACACTTTGCTTAGCGTAAAGCCATTGATGAAATTGAACTAGTTAAAATTAGGGTTTTGATATACGCGCATGGGTGTTTGTCAACGATTATCCTTGGCAGAGGGTATTTCAAATTGGAGAAGAGAAGTTTTGCCTGCTTAAAACATAATTGAACATCTTCACTCTAAGCTGATTGATTTTGTTTTGCATGCTCATATTCTAGTAAATATGTACGCCCTAGAATTACTTGCATGCATAGAGGACTTATTGAGCATTTCCCCTCAGATTATCAAATAAAATACATATAAAAAAAAATTATGTGAGGTCCTAATCCATACTGAGAGATTTTCATCATTTTCTGGTATGCTATACACCAAAGAATAGTAAAATTTTCGCTTACACAAATTCAAGCTTGTAAATACGGAGCAAGTAAGAACTACTACATGTGATTCAAAATTGATTAGGGCGATTCTCAAGCCAATAAGACTCTCTGCTTTGTAAGGAACGGAATGAACGTTTACCATACACAACCTTATTCTTATTTTACAAAGTGAATGTTTCCACGACTCGAATAGAAAGGTAGGTAAATATATAGCTAGGGCACTTGACTAGAACGAAACAATTGAGCATACGGTAAATGCTGTACCAAAACACTATTTCTTAAAATTGATGGCGTTTTTGTTAAATCCATTAAACCCGTTGATGTGATTTATTTTCTAAAATTGATTGGGTTTTTTTTTTTTTTTTGTCTTTTGGTGATAAAACTAAAATTAATTGTTCTGATAGGATATGCTGTACCAAAACAGTGAAGTGATTTTTTTTTTTTGCAAATGTCTAAAAAGGAATAGTGGGATCCAGCTATTAAGAGATCCATGTGTCCTTCGCAATTCAGTCCTCCTCTGTACGCAGGTGGTCTTGTTTCATCAACCCTCCCTACAAGGGCAAATGTCCTACAAAATAATACCCCACCCCGCCCCACCATTGTGGTTTCTTTTTCCCTTTCATTATTTGATCAAGTTTACAAATTTACCCAAGTTTTGTTCTTTTCTTTACTTACTGAGCAAACAAACACATTGAATTGTTGTACATTTGGTTTGGGTGGTAGAAATTTAGAAATTCTGGTTTAAATTGATGTCTACTCTTCAAAGATAAATCTATCTGGTTTTGGTCCCAGCAATTAAACCTTTAATCGAACCATGTATATATATTGAAGAAAAGTTAAGCTTCCATCATAAAATTAACTGGTATATGAGAACTTACTTATAAACCTATGCAAGGTCTCTCCCCCATTAATGTGGGACTTACTCTCAACACGCTCCCTCATGTGTGGCGAATTTTGAAGTTTAACACGTGGACAACACAACAATGTGATGTGGAGCGCATCTGGCTCTGATACCATGAAGAAAGTTGAGATTTCACCATAAAACCAATTGGCATATGGGAACTAGCCTAACTTACTTAGCCCATGCAAAGTTTCTCGTCCCATTAATGTGAGACTCATTCTTAATATATATATATATATATATATATATATATATATATATATTGTCAGATGATGCTCTCGCCTGCTTGCTAATGGTAATCTCCCCAAAAGTAAGTGTCAAAATCAGGAGCTGCATATTTCCATGGAATTATTGTTTTTGTTTATAGATGATACTGTGTTCGCATATTTGATATGACCTGGTTAGATAAGTAATTGTCTTTCAATTTCAGGGAAATTTGGTAGGCATGATCTTTAGGTGATAACATATCGAATGCCCTGTTTCGATTATGCGAAATATTGTGGAGCAAGCCTAGACGACTGACTAATACCATATTAAATTACTAATTGATTAGTGCTTCTGCTTATACACCGCTTTAAAGATAGATTTCACCTATGTATTACAGTTATGCACTACGTGACCATAACAAGATAATGCATCTGTCACAAGTGACTTATAATTCAGTTGGTTAAGAGTATGTCTTTACACCTGAGATTTCGTGTTCAAATTCTCTCATAGTAAATTAATGTAGATTATTACACTATCATTTGTCAAAAGAAAAATTAATACATCTGTCAAGAATTTTGCTTCACGATAAACATCACGGAAGGAAGGCGATGGATTTGAAATCTTTTTTTGTTTTTTTAATTTGGATAATTTGATGTAATATCTTATCATACGTCCAGAAGAAAATCCCCTAAATACACATCAAATCTTGCGAACTCCCATAAAATTCTTATATCCATTAAATAATATTTTTCACAATAATCATCAACAAATCAGACTAAATTAAGCACAAATATATTTTGTCACACTAAAAACATCTGATGATGTAATCCCAAAACACACAAAACAGCATACAGAAAAAATGGTTTTATGGAGAGCCCAGATGGAGAAGGAGCTTGAGAATTCTTCAATGGCAGGGCAGGTGAAGCAATCTGATCACTGCTTCCGCAGACATTAACTCCAACTTTCAAACTGTGAGCTTCTGAGGAACTCACACAGAGACCTGGGTTTCCACTGAGGTCCAAGTTCCTCCCCAACCTCTTGAGGAAACTTGCATTGAAAGGCACAACACCCCCCAACATGTTTCTGCTCAGATTCATGTGGTAAATGTGCGAGAGGCTCCCAAACCCGACCGGGATTTCGCCCGTTAGCCGGTTATCCTGCAGCGACAGAGTGCTCAAATTCTTGAGCTGGGAGAAGGATTCCGGGATGGTGCCCGAGTAGCCGGAATCAGCCAGCCTGAGTTCTTGGAGCTTCACCAATTTACCAAACTCCAATGGCAGAGGAATGTGCATTGGATTGCCGTCTAAAATGAAATACTGCAAGCTCTGCAACTTTTCCAACCCCTTCGGAAATTTCCCACTTAATTTGTTGTTGCTTAACGCCATGAAAACCAAAAAACCGAGCTTTTCGATGCCATTGGGGATGGAGCCTGTGAGTTGATTGGAGCTGAAGTCAACTTTTTGAAGCAAACCCAGTTGACCAACTGTGTCTGGGATGGAGCCTATGAGAGAATTGTAGCTTAAATCAAGGCCTTGGAGGTTTCTGAGACTGCCCAGCTGCATAGGGATGGTGCCTGTGAGCACATTGTAACTCAAATCAAGGTGGATTAGTTTCCGAAGGGTGAAAATCTCCGAGGGGATCGGACCGGAGAGGCGGTTTTGTGACAATGTGAGGATCTCAAGGGACTTGAGGTCGGATATTTGTGGTGGGATTGGGCCGGAGAGTGCCGGGTTGGACCGGAGGCTGAGCTGCTGGAGGGAGGCAGGGGATGATGCTCTGTTTTGAGAAACAGAGAGGGTGGTTTTTGTGTGAGTGAAGCAGTTGAAGAAGAAAGCAGATTGGAGAAACGGGAGGGAGAAGATTAGGGAAGGGAATGTGGCTGTTTTTTTGCAGGAGGGGTTTGGTGAGGTGCCAAAATCTAGCCGGGAGACATGGGGGCGGTTGTCTTTTCCGATTTTGCACTCGATTCCGGGCCAGGAGGAGGAGGGTTGGCAAGGGGTAGGATGGGAAATCCTCCAGGGTTGATCAGAGGACATGGATTCCATGATCTTGAACAGGGTTTCTGATTCAGATGGAAGCATGGTGGCGGCGGTGGTGGTCGAAGGAGGGTGAGAGAGGAGGAGCAGGAGGAGGAGGAGGAGGAGTGGAGGGAGAGAGAGTGGGAAGGGAAGGCACATTGTGTCAAGGTATATGGGAGGTTCGGAGAGTTGCAGCATTTTGTTGTCTGGCTTTACAGTTTTAACCTCACGTGAGAGTGCTAGAGAGAGAGAGAGAGAGAGAGAGAGGGGGGGGAGAAGTGATTGAAGTGATAGGAGCGATAATAAGTGGGAGGGGGAAGTCATGAGTCATGACATTTGAGTGAGAATTTGATAATTTGAAAGCAAAGGTAGGGTCGTGACTCGTGACTGAGGGAACTTATAACATTAGGCAGAAAGTTGAGTGTTGTGGAAAATAAGGGCATGTTTCACTTTTCCCAAGCATTGGATTTTGAATTTTTTTATAGAAAAAACTAATTAAAAGTGTTAGGAAAATTTGAATTTTAACGATAAAAGGTAAAATAAATAGTATCATGATTAAATTTTTAGTGTAAAAATATCATTTTTCTTTAAAGTAAATAGTACCAGAATCTTTTCGTTAAAGTTCCCTTCTTTTATTTCATTGGGATTTAAAGATTATTTGTTTGTTTTTCTATTATTAACATCCGGAATTGTTTGATAATTTTTTTTTATTTTTTTTTATTTTTTAAATATGAATCTTATTTGGTAAGTACTTTTAGTTTTTAATTTTTAATTTTCAAAAAATTGAAAGTAGTTATGAAACAATACTTTAGTTTTGAGATTTCATAAAACTAAAAATTGAAAATAAAATGCTTATTGTGTGACAACTCGTCCTAGAAATTATTTATCGGAGTGTGAAAAGTCAGAATTACCCATGGTCATTGAGTTGTATTATTGGTTTAATTGTGTTTTTGGACCCATATTCTTAAATCCTAATTGTTTGGAACCAATTAGGATTAGAGTTTGGTGTATTGTGGGTTGTTCACTATTTTGGACCACACATCACTCCTCCATTCTCTCTCTCACTCTCGTGCACACACTCTCTCTCGGTTTCACTCTCTCTCCTTCGAACTCGTATGGACAAGCACCCAAAACCCTTGAAACTTCACGGATCGTGGTCAAAGTTGGCACCATTGTGTTCGTGAAGCTCAGACGAGTCGATTGGTACCCATTTTAGGTAAAGATACCTTCGAAAACCCTAGTTTTTCATAACCCCCGATTTTGTGCACTATTCATGCACACGTAATTATGGATGTTTTTGGAAATTTGAAGCTTGAAGGAAGCTTAGTGAGAAGCTTGGAGTGCTTCGTTTGAAGGTTTTAGAAGTTGGGATCGTGTGAACGAAGTTTGGCCAGTTTTTCTTGGAATTCTCCAGTGAGATCCCATGACTTTTAGAGCTTTAAATTAGTATGATTGTGTTCTACAAGTTAAGAGCTTCATTTTGGTATGAACTTCGTGAAAATGGTGAAGAAACGAGTGAGAAATCAAAGTTCTAAAAATCCCCAGTTTTCCGACGACGACGACGGTCGTCGGAGTCCCAAGGTTGAAGACGACAGAATATTCCGTCAAGTCTGATGGAATATTCCAACACCGTTAGTTAGATTTAACAGTAACAGTTAGAAGTTGACGGAATATTCCTGACGGCGTTAACTGACGCCGTCAGCATGCCTGGCATGTGGCCGCACGTGGGCGGTGCATATTGCCGTGCCTTGGCCGACGCGTGGCAGCGCGTGGATGGTCGGAAAAAATATTCTAAAAATATAGGGATGATCCTGAGGTTGTGTAGGTCATTGTGTTATATTCATATACCCAATTTGAGCTATGTCTGAGAAGTTATTACATAGTTTGGTATATGTGCATTAAAGTGACGTTTATATAGTTGTTTCGCTCATAGGTGAGGCCTATTCTCAGGACGAGCGTAATCAATCGAGGCTCGGGGGCTACGACCCATCGACATATTTGTAAGTGGGTAGTTATTTTCAATATATATATACTTGACGTTTTTCCCAGAAAACATATTTAAAGGAAATGCGATTTAAATGCCATGCATATGAATTTATATTTCGTACATGAATTGGTATGTGAAGCTTTATATATTTAAATGTGGTGTTGTGGACGCCCTGAAGCTCAGGTAAGTTGTGTTTGGTTATGTGAATCATCGATGATGTGATATGTGATTGAATAATGTTGAGCTCATAAAACTACACCTAGGGTGATTGTGATTTAGCCAGAGATATGAAGTACAAGTCTATTTATTATGTCGCCCCCGCACTATATGCTAATATCGGATCCAATTTAAGTGCACAGTCTTGTTGTACAGACCTTATTTATAGTTCCGACTCGTAAGTGACTAGCGATTTATCGCCCAACTATTATGAGAGAGTAGAATTGAGCATAATTATATTACACCCAATCTTGTCGTACAGACCTTTTTTATTAGTGGTTCCGACTTATATGCAGTATATTGCCATATAGGTCATTGTAGTGACTTCGGCTAGATTGACTTTTGAGCTATGAATTCAGCCGTACAAACTTTCACAGGGGTTTCAACTAATATGTTATATTTCTATGAATTTATTCTTACCTGAATTGCTTACCTTGTTATATCTTGGCATGACATACATATGATTATGAATATGTAAAGCATGATTTGAAATGATATATTTATATACATATTTATGTATTCTATTTTCTGGGAAAGTAATCATATACTTGTTTTACGGCGAGGGGTTAGTGTACTCAAAAGAAAATAAGGTTTTTGTGTAAATGTGTTTTACTGACCCACTCAACTTTGTTTTTCACCCCTCCAGGTCTTAGACAACAGAGTTTGGTGGCCACGAGGACTCCAATGGTGTTCTAACAGAATCCGAAAAAGTAGGATTCACCTTCTGGTGTTGTATTTTAGTGATTGCAACTAGACTCTCTTATTGCTCTGAAAGTGTATTTATACACTGAAACTCTCACTAGCATCCCTTCTTAATTAGTATTGTTAGTTGCTTGGTTTTAAGTTGTTAGTATTCGCTTACTCTTATCGCTTCCGCTTTGTGCACATGGGTACGTCACTCTCACGTGACAGACAACACATCTCAACTTTGATCGGGTTGTGTCATATCGAACATCTCCTAAGAAAGTCATTCTGCATTATTTCTCTTAATAATACAGTGAGAAGCTTATCTTTTGAGGTAGTGTTGATAACAACACAATTTATTAATATTTTGGATAAACTGTCATTTGATCCCTTGAACTATTACTCCAGTTAAAATTAACCCTATGAACTATTTTTTTGGTAATTAACTCCTTGAATTATTTGAAATAAGCCAATTGACCCTTGTTGGTAGATTCCATCCACCTATTTTTTCAAATTCAAAGGAAAATTAGTCTTTCCTTAATCAATTCTTACTTATCAACTATAACCAACAATGTAATTATGACATGTGAAAACAAAATAATGTGTAATGATAATGTGAGATGATCCGTTATGTAAACGTTTGGTTTTTTATGTTTTCTCATTATGCTATATATTTTTGAATTATTTTGTGTCCATGTATCAAAATTTTATTGGTATTTATAGCTAACAAGTAACAATTAATGATGAAATGATTAATTTGCCCTTGAATTTGATGAAATTGATTCCGCAATCTAACGGCAAGAGGTTAATTTACTAAAAAAATAGTTTAGGGGGTCAATTTCAATTGGTGTGACAACCCGCCCCAAATTTTACTATTTTATAAATTTTAAAATGTGAATTCACGAGAATACCCTAGAGGTGAGCGTATTGACTTTCGTTGATCGCTAGTTCATGACGCGTATGAATTATTACCTTACCGTATTTCAAAAGTATGTTGGTAAGGGTTGTTATTTATTCTATTAATTTCTTATATTTTTTGTTAATTTTATTAATTGAGAGGTAAGAAAAATTAACGGGAAAAAGAGGAAAAGAAAGAAGAAAAGAAAATGAGGAAGGTTGCCTGATGGCAGCGAAGTGGAGAGGGAGAGAAAGAATATGGGCACTGCCCAATCAGGAAAGGAGGAGAGTGAGAGTGACGAATGGGAGAGAAGAACTAGGAGGGAAAGGAGGGAGGTGTGGAGCATCCAACCCAGCTGACCCGTACACCCACAACAAAAATTGGTTTTGACTCGGTTGTAATTCCGGCTAGATTCCACCACTTTTCCGACGAAAGTCACCCATTCTTCACCTGGAAATCATCCCTTGACCTCCCCTCTTCCATTTCCACCCAAATTTGGAAAGGATTTGGGTGTAAATCATTGAAATAACCCACGGGGGTGCCATGAGACCCATGCTCGAAATCCATCAATCGTGAAACGATCTCCTTGAATTACCACCACTAGAACACTCCTCTAGAACCCTAGAACAAAGCCCAGGTAGTGGTTGAGGCGTCGGAGTGAGTATGGAGGTCGAATTGAAGCACACCATTTTCTAGGGTTTCGGCGGGTTTAAGCAAAATTGGAGCTTTTCCCGGCCAAATTGGACTTGGCCATAGGTATAAAGTTTACTCTACTCATTGAGATCTTCATTCCTATAAATTTTGATAATTTTTGGAAATAGGTGGATTTTCCGGCGAGTCGGGGCGACCGATCGCCACCCGCGGCAGCACGTGTGGCGGCTCGTGGCCAGGGGACCGTCGATGTTATCCTTAGGATAAATTACATGTCTTGAGTTCAGTTTTGGCAATTGTATATCATAGGTTGATCGTTTGGACCTAAACTCATTAGGATACGTTACTTGGTAAAGATATGAAACGACGATCCAACCGTTGGATCGTCACCAAACTTTAATATGTTATAGTACATAATATTTGAGGTCCATAGAAACTTACAGATAAGAAATCCACGTATGAATTTTCCCGAATTGGATTTTTAAGTTTATAAATTAAAATGTTGACCGCCATTTAGTTTTGGCAATTGGCGGAGATCCGACCGTTGGATCGTAATGAAACCTTAGGTTGTTGTTCTAGAAGTATAATGTGGATCTTTGGAAGCAACGGATTGGAAATCCATGATACAGATCTTTCGAATTGATTTATGCGTTTTATGTAAATTATGTATTTTGTCGATAAGAACTCTGAGATGTGATTTGATACTTGGTCATAGGCGACGATGGTTCGTGATGTCTCAATATGTGTTCTAAGGAGTCATAGTGTGGACCTCAGGTGAGTGGGTCTTTTCCTTCCTATCGTGTGTGTGTGTATATATATATATGATTGATAATTTCACAAACGGTTATAAATTGATTATTGCATATAATTACTGTGAATGCTTAGAAGTACTGATACGAATTATGAATGGCTTGATCCCTGTTTAGGGTACGTAGGCAGTCTAACAAGACGTTAGATGCAGCCATACTATAAATGGGACTAAATAATTGAGACAATAGCCTTGTTTGAGAATTGAGCAATGTGAAGGAAATTGGTGAAAATATGAGATTTAAACTTATGTTTTTAGTGATTGGATATTGGTCATAAATCAATGTGGAAGGAATCAAGAAATTGAAATAAGGAAACATAAGTAATGATAGTTAATTAAACTAGTGTTTAGTTGGACTTATCCACGATAATTATTTCCGAAAATAAATAATTCGGGAGCAAGGCGTTATACATTGTCCATTTTACGCCACATTATATATATGTATATATTGGAAAAATACTATGATATGGTTGAATTTTAGATTTGCATTATGGCATATCCATATGTATATTTCTTGCACATAATTATTGTGAATGCTGTAAAGTGTGAAGGTGAACGCAGAACACACAGGTAAGTTCAGGTGAGTTATGATATTAGTTGAAATGATTGAGTTATGGCATGATCACATTTATGTTTTAGGCAACTCCGATATTGTCGTACATGTTGCCTATGAGTTGTATATGTAATATGAGATTGCTCTAGTTATGCGAGATATGATGAGATGCAATTAGAGCTCATAAATCTGCACCCCGGTGTTAGTGCTCCTGCCTGTGGCCATGGCACAGTCCTTCACATGATGTTCACCTCCCGCACCTTACGCTCACCTTGGTTCTAAGGTAGGTGCACAGTCATGTCGTACAGACCACTATAGGTGGTTCCGACTCGTAGGTGACCCACGATTATTCGCACAGTCTTCACATGATCATAACTCTTGAGCGTATTTATTTACACACAGTCCTGTCGTACAAACCACTTTAGGTGGTTCCGACTTGTGTGCATGTATACTTATTGAGCTATGGATAAGTCGTACAGTAAACTACAGGTTACTCTGACTTATGAGCTAGCATATGTGATGAAATATGTGATGAGCTAGCATATGTGATGAGATATGGGTAAGTCGTACAGGTCATGATGGGTGACTTCGACTTATGAGTTAACATCGATTGATGAGATATGGGTGCAGTCGCACAGGTCACCATAGGTGACTCCGACTTGTGTGCTAGTATGAGTTATTAATCACATGATTATTAATATTGCTGATGAGATGCTGTGTTGTGATATATTTATGATTTTTTTTGAAAACTATATAGGTGTTGTAGCGAGGGGTTATAATGTTTTATATGGTTTCTATTAAAATTTTATTTCCAGGGTCACTCACCCTTGTTTGGTTTTCACCCTCCAGGTTTTATTAGCTGAGCTTTTTTATCGTTGAGGATTCATGGCAAGTCATGGTATTGGAGATTACCTTTGATGGTACAATTCTTAATTCATTCTACTGTACTTACTTATGCTCTAACGTCACGTGTGAAGGGGGTTCATTCCCGCTCACCAACACAGCTCGATTCGGAGTCATAATGGATATTTCGGATCAGGGTATGTTAACTGGGGTGATAGATCAGGAGTAAACCGCAATTTACCCTAATATTTTTGACAAAACGTTTACAAAAGGATGCATGTTCAATTACTCTTTGATTTGATACAAATGATAAAAAAAAAAATAATAATAATAAATAATAATAATAATAATAATAATAAAACTTTTTAGTATTTTAATCTCCACTATTTATATAAAGTTATCAACAAATCTAATGATAAGTGACCATAAGCTTTTGGTCACCTGATAATCAAGAGAACTGAACTCGCACTACTAGAGTGGCTCCAATGATGGCACTTGTGTCAACAAGAGGAAACTAATTGCTACTCTTGTCCTCTCCCAACATCAAATTCAGGTGTAACCTGCTGGGTTTAATAAACAAAACCCTTCAACTCAAACGGATGAGGATCCTCTCCAAATTCTCTTTGTGAGAATTTTGAGGATCACTTCATTGGGACTGTTCATTGTACATCGTGTGACAAGTTTTCATCAAGTACTGTTTGTTTTCAATTTTAAATAAGAAATTCAAAATGATTTCTGACCGCAGAATAATACATGAACGAACACGATAAAATGATTATTGGACGGATAGGATCCTATTCCAATTCAAACAATGGTTTTCACAAAAAATCATGACACGAAAGTGCAAACCAGGGCAATGTTGCATAGTAGCGCAAAACATAAAACTTGTGCCACTGAACGTCTAAAGCTAAGCACATAACCATTTTATCTCACAGCTTGCATATTTTGACTTTGTTCGAAGACGTTTAGAGTTCGAATCTCAATGATGATAAATGCCGTTGATAAAAAAGTTAATTGCTTAAACAAATAATAATTGGTTTTTTTTTTAAATAAAAAAAACAAATAATAATTGCTGAAACTAAACCTAAATCAAAATGGTGAAGTAAGAGTTTCGTACAAGACCACCTTACGGTAAAGTTTGACTTGACTTTAAACTTCCGTTTGATGTCTAGAGCTGCAACACATTAAGTGCTCGTTTGAGATTGCTTTTTGGGACAACTTCTGCTTTTTCAAAAAAGTAATTAGTAACTCACAAATTTGGAAAAGGGTTTGGCTAGTACAACTACAAAATGGTTGATCAAAAAAACAGAAAATACAAAAGGGTTGATCCAACCAACCAGTTTCTCTATGTTTTGAATGAATATGCATCTTATTACTACAACTAAAATTGAATGCGAGTTGCAAAGTTGTTGTCTTCATCTTATGTAAATTCCAGTGAAATGAATAGTTGTGCCTCAAAAATCATTTATTACCCTAAGTTAAAACATGATTTACCCTAACCTAGACAAATACAAGGAAGGATTCAGACTTATGGACCCATTTGTCCCTTGCATTTTCTTCCAGAATTATAAATATCCAACGGTACGCAAAAGACTTGTAGCTCAATTTACTTAAAGCATTCACCCTTCACCCAGATCCCGAGTTTAATTTCCCCCTTCCCCAGTTCCACTTGTACACAAAGTAACAAAAATAACGGCAAGAAATGAAACATCAAAATTTTCAAAGGGATCAAACTATACACGAAATTATACTAGTGCGTGGAACATTATTTCCTGTACCTAAACAAACACAAGTTCCGGTAATTTTAACATTTGGAAACAAAAATGAGTAATCGATAAACTAAAGACGTAGTAAATCGTTGCACAGCACAAAACAGTACAACAATCAACATGAATCCAAGCATAGTCAACTAGCCATATATATGTGGAGCTGTTACTTTTCCAAGACTGCATATTCGTAATTCTGTATAGTTAGGGGTCGCGCTGCCTGTCAAACAATAATATGGAATTATAGATTCATCTGGTATAGGAGGAAATGCAAGCGGAAAATAGTAGAAATAAGACGGAACACATAATTATCGGATCAGAGTGAACGTCTTTACTCATGTGTGAAAGGATTACCTCAGAAAAATTGTATGACAGCACCTTTACTTTATACTACAACACTGCATTTACTCTGCTGCGCAATATCCTGAGGAGTTTCAAGAGAAGGCTCTGGAACAACCTCTGCTTCAACTTTAGATGGGTGTGGATCACTCTCACTTGAAACATGACGAAGTTCTGAATCATCAACCTCGTTATGTGCACCATGGAGCTGTGAGTCAATGACCTTAGTTGCACTGCAAATCTGTGGATCGACTACCTTAGTTGAATCAGACCGTTGTGAGTCCTTGACTTCATTTATTGCATCACAAAGCTGTGAGTCGATCTCTTCGGTTGCTTCAAAAAGCTGTGTGTCATCGACCTTCACAACTGCACGGATTAGCTCACAATTACCTTCCACAGCAGCCGCATGGCTTAGCTCTGAATGATCAAACCCCATGTCGGCACTGCATAGCTGCATATTCTCATGCTCACCATCTCCGCTGATCATATGCAAAGCAGTGACCTCACTGTCAACAGGATATAGTTGCGAATGATCTGCACTATGTGCATCCTGAAAACATAACTGCTCAACCCTGACAGCGGCACCACAAAACTGGGATTGATCATCCTCGCTAGCAGTAATATATTGTGCTGGATCATCCTTCCGCAAACGTTTTCCCATACCTTTTCTTCTTACCCTCTCCTTTCCTCTTATCCTTTTCCCAAATTCGCTTTGTGGGGTAGGTGATGGTATGTCCGGACCACCTACCTGGTCCCTCAAACATTGATGCGCGATATTCCTGATTTCTTCTATTGAATCAACTTGTTGTTGGTTCAACCCATCTGTTATGAATGTATCTGCTATGCGTGCAATATCCCTCAACCCAGCATTCTGCAAAAGTTAATAAAGTTATCATTTAAAATAATACACCATTTTCTTATCCTTGCATTTGACAATAACCAATAAATTTATAATTAATTATTTAATTAACAATCTTACCGTTCTTTGAAACTCAGACGAGAGAGATATAGGCCTCCCTATAAATTTGCGTGTAATTTTCAAGTACCACAGCATATAATCACTTTCATCTGCACCATCATCACCATCCACAATATGATATTGACGTTCTAGCCATTCATTAAGCTCTGACTCCATTTTCCCTGACAAGTCAACCCCACCATCAACTCCACGACTTTTTCTCTCCCATCGCTGTACATCCTCTGGGATTGACTGAAACTTGCCGTATTGCCTTAAGCAACGATTTGGGAGATGCCTTTCCGCCTTGTCAAAGCATATTAGCATTGTTTTGGACCTCCCTATAATCAGATTGCTCTTGATATCTTCTGGAATCACTGTACTGTCCATATTTCTATACGGAAGCCACTCCGCCTATAAGCCAACACCATGTCAAATGTCTTCTGAATCCACATTAAAATTAGAATATAAACTGAATTAGTTATCAATGGAAAGAGGAAGAGAAACCTTACATCACATGGTTTCAAGGAATCCAGAGCTTTACGGTAAAACACTACATCACGGTTTGTTGTTGGCCCACTTTGCTTTCCCTTCCAGCTAAGCACAAAAGGAAAACGATCATGCATTGAATCAGTATTGAGCTTTGGTCGTCCAATATTTAGGTGAAAGTAACTCCAGCACTGCAAAAATATGATATGATATAAAATATGAGATATCGACAAGAAGCAATTGCAAATAAGATCCAAAGGAACTGCTGAACAAAATAGAAAATAGAAAAGAAAAAAAGTAAAGGGACATGTAGATAACCTGTAGTAGCGTTAAACAGCCACTAATTGTACTTTGAGATCTCAGGGACGCATTGCCCAGTGCCCTGTACAAGAATGCCAATGCTGCTGCCCCCCAGGCATATCTCCCACAATCGTCAAAATTCTCAAACAGTGGAAGGTACATGACAGGGACTTTATTCCCAGTAGTTGTGGAAAATATTGTACTTCCAACAAGGTATAAGAGGTACGCACGGGTATGACATTCAATCACTTCAAGTGGTGCATCTTTGGGACAATGGGAAAAGAACTCTTTCAACCAGCTTAGCTTCACCATTCCACCGCTAGTATAACTAGGCTCTGGTACTTTTCCGAGATACCTGTCACAAACTGAGTTGCAGGTGGTATGTGTTGTACCAATTACAGGTTCTCCATCAATTGCTAGTCCAAGCAATAGTGCGACATCCTGAAGAGTTACCGTCATTTCTCCATCATTAAGGTGAAAAGTGTTTGTTTCTCTCCTCCACCTTTCAACTAGTGCAGAAATGAGTGGGTTATCAAGACTAATTGCCGGAATCCATCTTAAATAACCAAATCCAGCCTTCTCTACCAACTCAACCTGTTTTTCCGTGAGTGTCCATTGATCAAGCTTTGAAGTGTGTTCGTGGCATCTGAGTGCACCACGCTCCTGTAGGTAAGTCAAAAGTATGTATGTTTATCATCCAGATCAGAAAAGAAAAAAAATAGTTCATTCAAAAAGACGGAAGGAAATGGTAAAAAAGCCTTATACGGGTAATTAAATGGTACACTGCACCTGTCCATCCCAAACTGCTGAAGACACATGCTTGTCCTGATCATAAAGCACTGAGCCATCAATTGGTCCAGGATTCGTCCCATAAGGATCCGCCAGTATCATTTCCATTACTGCCAACTACAGAAAATATCCCCCAGTTTATTAGCTCCATCAAATAACTAGAGAGCAGCATCTTAGTTTATAAACATATTTAGTAAAACCGTTAAACTCGGTAACGACAAAATTTCCCAAGGAATCGATTACACTCTATTTTTGCCTCTAACTTCTATACTATAAACGTTGAGTTTCAGCTCCAGGAAGCATCACATACACATGTGAATGAGGTCAATTGGAAACTGTTGCAGTAAGAAAGAACCAGCAATAAAAAAACTTCATTTACATTAGAATTGAAACCTTTTCATGCACTCTTAACCTACTCAGATCAAATTAAGAGATCTGTAATTAAGATCTTAATCCCAGCATTTTCCAATATGTCCAATACTAGAATTTAGAGATCATTACAGAAAGAGCCTCACACCGCAGTTTGTTTTCGCTCGAGAGATTCTAAGAAAGACCCTATCTGTGGAATTTGTCCGCTGTTTCAAATTACAAATCTTCCGATGAACTGTCATTCTTAATTCATGACAAATGAATGACTCTAATCAAGAAAATGCATTCATCTAGAGGTTATATGAAAGAACAACGACATATAGCTTTTCGTTGAAAAAACACTTTCGAGCATCTCTCGCTATCCAAAAACCAAATTGCGAGACTCAACAGAAAACCATCAATGCACCGAAAATTTTACCAGAGGAACATCACCATGCATCACAATGCATTTCAATTCCTCTTGTACTTTTCGAGGAACCGAGCAAATGGAGCAAGTTCCATTTCTCTCAGCTAATACACAAACATTAAGACTTAAAGCTCCACTTATCATCTTCATTTACCTTCACAGCACAATTACTACCTGAAAGTTGCAGCAACTAAGAAGCAGCACCCAAGGCCAAAACCCTAATTAAAACCCCAATTAAGATAGTTGATCCAATTCAGGGCTAAATCGCAACAGAAACCCATTATACATTCAAAAGTTCATATTCACAACGCTATAATCTCTGCAAACCATAGCTTACTATTTCATCTAAACACAGAGCTAATCCTCAATCATGATCATAATCATAATTACAACCAAAATAAACAACCCCTGTTTGGCTTCCGAGAAAATACAAGAAAAGAAGAGGAGATTCTGTGTCAGTTATGTTATAAGCTGGTTTTACTTTCAATTTCTGAGAAATTGAAGTGCCGAGAACGGTGGTGGTGTAATTTGAGAAAGAAAATTTCATGAGAAAGTTTGTAAATTAAATTTTCTCGGAAACCAAACAGGGAGCTGAGAAGAAAAAGGTATGAGGGATAAAGGGGAAATGATTTTATGGGGGGACAAAAGGTGAGGAAATAAACAAACCTGAAACGCAAATCAAGCCAAAACGACGCCGGAGAGCTGCGTCGACGAATGCAAGCATTTGGAACCTCGAAACGACGATGAAGCTAAGGCAAAACACAAACTAGTGATTTTTCTATTTACTTTTTCCTACTAGGGCTTGATTTTGGGCGGGTTTCACTGCCCTAACCCGGGCCCAATATTAAAATTGGTCAACTTAAAAAAGTGAATTTGATTGGGCCTGTTATTGGGCCTCAAAATATTCACACCGTATAATAATGTCACATTGTTTTTGCGTAAAACTTTTTCAAACGAGATTTGGAGATAGGAACTTAAATTGCTTCCTTAGTTGCATGGCGAATGTTTTTAACCAAGTTACAAGTACATTGCATGGTTCTATTGCAATTTGATTTGATGAAAATTCTACATTACATTATTTTCATCTAAAACGGTTAAATGTAGCTGTTCATTTGAGCGAGGTATTGCATACCAACATTTATACATAGTAGAAAAACTTGACTTTGATACCCTTATTTAATCAGAATTTGCATGTAACGCGTTTCTTAACATCTTCAATTCGCATCTCTCATCAATTATTTTTTCCAAAATTAAGAAAAACACCTACATGAGCCAGTTATAATGTCATAAAAATGGTTTGTTTAAACACTCAAAACGATGTCCTAAGCTAAGAAATAATTTGTTGAGCATGCACTCCACATGAAACTCCGCATAATAGCTTGAAAATTTCAATTGTCTTTGACCTCTCTACTAGTTGACAATTGGTTATGAGTTTGATGTTGACATTCTAACATGGTATCTGTGAAGTTTAGTTTTATTGTTTGGTTTCCTTTGTCAAATGTTGTAAATTGTACCATACATGTTCTAGTTAGTTTTAGGATTTAATTGCTTCTCTAGGATCATATTGCTGGAAATATCACTTTAAGAGCTTAAATTCTCTCATCAAAGGTTTGTTCATACATATGCATTTCATGCTATTATTTTTAGTTCATTATATCTAGTGGTTCTGTCTAGCCAAAACTTCTCGTTGTTTTCACGCGAGCTGGGCACACATGAGCTTTCTGACAACTTTTTCCCTGAGAGTGTTTTTCAACCTTAGATCTTTTCTGATAGTTTTTGCACATGACATGTGGCATTTCCATCCCATCTCTTTATCTGAAACAAAGCCCACTATAAAAGCTTCATATATGGTTTTATTTTCACTCGGCTAGTGGATTTATTTTTAGAAGGATAGTTTTTTAGCTATGAGCTGCTCCTTTGTTCTTACTTGAAAACCCTAGCCACAAAATCATATTCATGCACTAAATACCCAGATCATTGCATATTAGGGCTGCATTGTTTTTGTGATTTTGATCTTTGTTTTAGGTCAAGCTTCTCTAGTTTCAAATCTTTGAGCTGACCTCTTTTTGGATTTGCATCAATTTCATCTTTCAAGTATTTGATTGGTGAAATTGACTAGACAATCGAATCCAAATTTGCATCTTCATCACTAAGGAGGAGCTGCTACTTCATGAAGACCGAAGGAGTTCATTTTGTGTAAAGCAAGGTTGCACAAAGGTAAACTTGCTCCGTAGATAGGGATCTAGGAATTGAGCTTGTGTGGTCTTTGTAAGAACCTTTTTTTTTTCACTAGTGGATTGGACTCAGTGGAGAGTCCTTGATTTTTTTAAACCCAAAGGTGGGTTTTTCCGGCCAAAAACATCCCATGCAATTTATTGCTTTATTAGTTTACTTATCTTTGTTTTACTTGTGATATATGCTTATCATAATCCACAAATAGATAAGTCATTGCAACTAAGCTTGTCAAAGTTAAAATGTGCACTAAACTGAATCTTAGTTAACTATGAACTTTTTAGTAAATTGAACTTTAATTTAACTTCTTCTGCTATAAGTAAACTAACATATCTGAGCTTAGTTGTTGAGTGTTGATGACTAGTCAGACAAGCACACATATAGATTTTAAATTGTAGGTTATTCCACCCAGTACCAATTTCAGTATTGGAAATGAGTTATCTACGTGATGTGCTCAACGGCTGCATGGCTCCTACGTCACCCAATACTTGCATAATTGCTTAAATGAGGGCCAATCCATTTTGAGTTCATGTTGTTTCAATAGTCTAGTAGCTATTTCAACCTCCAAGTAGCAATAAAACAAAGGGCAAATGCTTGCTACAATTTGTTTCAACTCTTTTCTCTCTCTTTGCGTGGACTATTTGTGAATTTCAACATAACTGGAAATATCATTGGATGTCAAAGATGTACCAATTAATCTTAGGGAAATTTTATTTAAACCCCTATAACCTCTTTCTACACCAACTTACTCTCTACACCCATATTAATTTCAATTAAATTATCAATATCTCTTTAAACCCAAATGTCTACCTAAACTACCCTCACGAACCCAATTCAATATATATATATTTATATATATATATATATATATTTATCTTTACACCCATTTAGAAAATAAACCCAAAATCAGTCAAAGACAATTCTGTTTTTGAAACTATTTTCATATCTGATTCTTAAATGTACGATCCTGCTACTCCAATATTTCTCATGAAGAAAGTGCCCATGCAAGATGGTGATCCTCTTCTCTCGCTAGAGTTGAAAATAGTCACAATGATATACATTGTTCTCATATGTATAGGGCTGATGATAATCATTATCATCAATGTCCCAATCTTCATCTGTTTTAGTGCCACACAAAAACCATATTTGCTCAATGCATCAATCGTATGCTATCTGTTGAGTTCATGTTCATCGGTTTAAATTATACTTGAATATATATCAAAGTAAAACTCAAGGACTTTATCAAAGCCGTATTTGATGTATTTCAAATTGTTAGAAGTATGAACAATTTTGCTAATTATCACTATGTTCCGGATCTGGACTTCACTTTTGGAGATGAATCCTTTCGAATTCGCATTGGTTGATGGATGACACAGCTGCTTTCAAGAACTTCAAAAAGTACATTTCTTCACCTCGGTTGTTTTTACCTTGTCTGTTTTGTTATGTATATGCCAAGCTATTTACTAGTGTTTTAGCTTCATTATTTTTATGTTTCAGTTGGTGGTAGTATTGAATTCCCAATGCCTTTTGGAAGAGTTATGATGAGTCCTATAGAGAAATTTATTCACGGGCTAACAAAGACCTTCTTTGCAAGTAATATACTTTTAAACTCTTAAAAAAAAAATCAAACGAAAAAAAACTTGCATAAATTGATTTATATCTTAGCTGAAGGATTCATAACTTCAAAATCATCATTCATTAGTCAAAATGAACGTTGGATTAAAGATTGAGGGATGGTAGAGTTTGATTATTGAGTATGAGTTTACTGATAACTTTTAGTTTTATTATTAATTTCATCTTGTACTTAATGATAATTATGCAATAGGATAAAAATGACAATTAACATTTAAAATTTAAGTTGGGTGTAGAGTGAGGCTATATAAGTTCAAATAAAATTTCCCTTAATCTTATTAACGATTATTCCAGTTTCTATTTTTGGTTAATTATACCACTATCTTGTTAAGAAGAAGAAATTATTGGTATATACACGTCACATTCGCATATAAATCTCATAGAGGAAGTTATGTGACGAAAGAGATGGAGAAACCGGGATAGGCAAGTATATTTGCTCGGGCGGGATGACTTTATTGCCTTTTCAGGCTGTGGGATGACAACTTTATTGCAAGCACTTGAGATATATTTCCACGTCAAAATCAGGTTGTAGACATGTAAATTTCGGTGAAATAAATACACACAAACAAATTAAAATTTCAACATGTCAGGACTTATGTGGCACGGACCATGAGTCTCACAAGTTGCACAGATATCTTGTGACTCATCAAAAGTGTCACGCGTTGACCTTTGACGAAAACATAATTATTAAAGAATTATCTTTAATTAACCTTGACCTAAATCAAACAAATTAATTGATTAATCAACGAATGAAGTGAATGTCAAATCATAAAGATTGGCCAAATTAAGAATAGCCAAAATAAAGATGAACGGTAATTGATTTATTTGATTAAATTAAAGACGATTTGATTCCTTGAGATTATTTGATGAAGCAAATTACGAACCAAGTCCAAATCAAGTTTTGGTTCTTTCATCAATTAAACAAGTCCAAAATCAAGGCAAATCAAACCTCAATCAAGACATGTAAAGCCCTATAAATACGAGGTTCTAAGACAAAGAAAGGGTCTCCTTACACAAGCAAAAACATCCACACCTCTCGACGCTCAAACTCTCAAACACTCTACAAACTCAAAAGATTTAGAAAACCCTCATCATTCTTCTCCACACTTGTTAAGAACCATCAAGCACCACTATATGTGTGCCGGTTCCTCCATCGCAACAAGCCAAACTCTTGCGACGTTCATGGATTCGAGATCAAGTCACTACAACCCTCAGATCAACCCCACCACACACACTTTGCATCCCAGAGATCGAATCAAAGGATCATATTTTTGTATCGGATATTGTAACCCTAATTTCTCATTTAATAAAAATTATTATTTTGTATGCGCCTTCTTGTTTCATTTGTGGTAGGAATTTTGCGTTTATAAATTTGGCACGTCTTATAGTACTTTCTCTCCCTTTCGTCTATGTCTCTGTTCAAAATCCACCCACCGTCGAAATCCATGGTTTCGAAAAAGAGTCAAGCTCCTCCCGCGATCAAGGAAAAGAGCGTTAGCACTTAAGCTGCAAGCAGAAACTCTAGTGGTGCCACAACTTGGAGCAGGGCAAAGGCATTGACCACGATTCAACACAGGCAAAGGCATTGATCACGATTCATCACGCCACCTCTGGTGCTGCTGCCTGAGCAAGAAGAGCGTCAGAGGTGTGAGCCTGTCTTCAGCCTAGCCTTGCTAGGGGCAATGAAGCATGCTTCTGCTGCACGCGAGATCAAAGCAAAAAACTGAAAATAAAATGGTTATCAAACGGCAACTAAGAAAGTCATTCAGCATTATTTTCTCTTAATAATATAGGGTGAAGTTTATTCATGGAAAAGTAAAAAATATCTTTTTGAAGTGCCAATAACAATCCAAAGGAATAATGTTAGGTAGACCAAATTTGTAAACCTACGATGTATCAATAATAGAAAATAAGCATGTTAATCAACACTTAAAGAATAATCCAATCATCAATTACAACATTATTTGATTTACAAAATTTGGTTTAAAAAGTTAATCTCCCGTGTATTTACAAAAGATGAACATAAAAATCCCTTATAACCTTCAATCATGATAGGATCTTGAGTGTTACCGACTATATAAAAAGGTTGTACCTAGTGCACAAGGCTCCCGCTTTACGCAGGGTCTGGGAGAGGTGAATGTCGGCTAGCCTTACCTCCATTTATGGAGAGGTTGCTCCTAAGTCTCGAACCCGAGACCTACCGCTCATGGGCGAAGGCACTTGCCATCGCACCAAATGCGACCTCTTAGTGTTACCGACTATATAAATGTTTGAAAATAAAATCAAGTATACACACAACCGGTATCCTCTCATCAACTATACCTATATATGCACTTAAAGGTTCATCATACCCTTGCTGCCAATCCACAATTTCACATTGGCAATTGAAATTGTTTTTAGCTTTAATTCACAGAAAATCATGACATGAAAGTGCAAACCAGGGCAGTGTCGCATAGTAGCACAAAACATTAAACTTATGCTACTGAACGCTGAAAAGCTAAGCACATTACCATTTTACCTCACAGCTTGCAGTTTCTGAGTTTCGACTTTGTTCGAAGAGGTTCAGAGTTCGCATCTCAACGACAAGCGTGTGCACATATGGTTGCATTTGTCCCTTGCATTCTCTTCAAGAAATATAAACATCCAACAGTACGCAAAAGAATTGTAGCTTAATTAGTTTAAAACATTCACCTTTCACCTAAGAACCCGAGTTCAAGTTCCCCCTCCCCCAGTATCACTTGTACAAAAACTAACAACAATAACAGCAAGAAATGAAACATCAACATTTTCATAGGGATCAAAATATACATGAAATTATACTAGAGTGTGGAACATTACTTCCTGTACCTAAACATAAACAATTCCAGTAATTTTTACATTTCGAAACGAAAATGAATAATCGATAAATGAAAGACAACGACAACATAAAAATAGATTAGACGTAATAAATTGTTGGAGAACACAAAACACTACAATAATTTACATGAATCCAAGTATCGTATTGCTAACCAGCCATATATATGACGAGCTGTTACTTTTCCAACACTGCTAATCTAGCTGCATATTCGTAATACTGTATAGTGAGGCTTGCGCTACCTGTCAAACAATAATAAGGAATTATAGATTCATCATTCATCTGGTATACAAGGAAATGCAAGCGGAAAATGGTAGAAATAAGACCGAACACTTAATTATCGGATCAGAGTGAACGTCTTTACTCGTGTGAAAGGATTACCTCAGAAAAATTGCATGATAGTGCCTTTACTCTATACTACAACACTACATTTACTCTGCTGCGCAATATCTTGAGGAGTTTCAAGAGAAGGCTCTCGAACAACCTCTGCTTCAACTTTAGATGTGTGTGGATCACTCTCACTTGTAACATGAGGAAGCTCTGAGTCATCAACCTCGTTATGTGCACCACAGAGCTGTGAGTCAATGACCTTAGTTGAATCAGACAGTTGTGAGTCCTTGACTTCATCTATTGCATCACGAAGCTGTGAGTCGATCTCTTCGGTTGCTTCAAAAAGCTCTGTGTCATCGACCTTCACAACTGCACGGATTAGCTCAGAATTACCCTCCACAGCAGCCGCAATGCTTAGCTCTGAACGGTCAAACCCCATGTCGGCACTGCATAGCTGCATATTCTCATCCTCACCATCTCCGTTCATCATATGCAAAGCAGTGACCTCACTGTCAACAGGATATAGCTGCGAATGATCTACATCCTGAAAACGTAACTGCTCAACCATGACAGTGGTGCCACAAAACTGGGATTGATCATCCTCACTAGCAGTAATGTATTGTGCTGGATCATCCTTCCGCAAACGTTTTCCCATACCTTTTCTTCTTACCCTCTCCTTCCCTCTTATCCTTTTCCCAAATTCACTTTGTGGGGTGGGTGATGGTATGTCCGGACCACCAACCTGGTCCCCCAAACATTGATGCGCAATACTCCTGATTTCTTCAATTGAATCAGCTTGATTTCGGTCCAACCCATCTGTTATGAATGTATCTGCTATGCGTGCAATATCCCTCAACCCAGCATTCTGCAAAAGTACATAAAGTTTTTTTTTTTGAACAAGTGATATTATTATTTATACTAAGAGGTGGGGAAGTGGGCTAAGCCTCACAATGGCTAGCGAAGAATCGAACCTATAAAGTTATCATTTAAAAATAATCCACCATTTTCTTATCCTCACATTTGACAATAACCAATAAATTTATAATTAAAAATTTAATTAACACAATCTTACCTTCTTCTTTTTTTTGGTGAAGCTTACCGTTCTTTGAAACTCAGACGAGAGAGATATAGGCCTCCCTATAAATTTACGTGTAATTTTCAAGTACCACAGCATATAATTACTTTCATCTGCACCATCATCACCATCCACAATATGATATCGACGTTCCAGCCATTCATTAAGCTCTGGCTCCATTTTCCCTGACAAGTCAACCCCACCAACTCGACGACTTTTTCTCTCCCATCGCTGTACATCCTCTGGGACCGACTGAAGCATGCTGTATTGCCTTAGGCAACGATTTGGGAGATGCCTTTCTGCCTTGTCAAAGCATATTAGCATTGTTTTTGACCTCTCTATAATCAGATTGCTCTTGATATCTTCTGGAATCACCGTATATTCCATATTTCTATACGGATGCCACTCCACCTATAAGCCAATACCATGTCAAATGTATTCTGAATCCACATTAAAATTAGAATATACTGAATAAGTTATCAATGTAAAGAGGAAGAGAAACCTTACATCACATGGTTTTAAGGAATCCAGAGCTTTACGGTAAAACACTACATCACGGTATGCTGTTGGCCTACTTTGCTTTCCTTTCCAGCTAAGCACAAAAGGAAAACGATCATGCATTAAATCAGTATTGAGCTTTGGTCGTCCAATATTTAGGTGAAAGTAACTCCAGCACTGCAACAATATGATATGAAATAAAATATATAAGATATCGACAAGAAGCAACTGCAAATAAGAGCCAAGGGAATTGCTGAAAAAATAGAAAATAGAAAAGAAATAAAGTAAAGACACATGTAGATAACCTGCAGTAGCGTTAAACAGCCACTAATTGTACTTTGAGATCTCAGAGAAGCATTGCCCAGTGACCTGTACAAGAATGCCAATGCTGCTGCCCCCCAGGCATATCTCCCACAATCGTCAAAATTCTCAAACAGTGGAAGGTACATGACAGGGACTTTATTCCCAGTAGTTGTCGAAAATATTGTACTTCCAACAAGGTATAAGAGGTAAGCACGGGTATGACATTCAACCACTTCGAGTGGTGCATCTTTAGGACAATGGGAAAAGAACTCTTTCAACCAGCTTAGCTTCACCATTCCACCACTAGTATAACTAGGCTCTGGTACTTTTCCGAGATACCTGTCACAAACTGAGTTGCAGGTGGTATGTGTTATACCAATTACAGGTTCTCCATCAATTGCTAGACCGAGCAATAGCGCGACATCCCTAAGAGTTACCGTCATTTCTCCAACATTAAGGTGAAAAGTGTTTGTTTCTCTCCTCCACCTTTCAACTAGTGCAGAAATGAGTGCATTATCTAGACTAATTGCCGGAATCAATCTTAAATAACCAAATCCAGCCTTCTCTACCAACTCAACCTGTTTTTCCGTGAGTGTCCATTGATCAAGCATTGAAGTGTGTTCATGGCATCTGAGTCCACCGCGCTCCTGCAGGTAGTTAAAAGTATGTATTATCATCCAGATCAGAAAAAATAGTTCATTAAAAAAGACGGAAGGAAATGGTAAAAAGCCTTATACGGATCAGTAAATAGCACACTGCACCTGGCCATCCCAAACTGCTGAAGACACATGCTTGTCCTGATCATAAAGCACTGAACCATCAATTGGTCCGGGATTAGTCCCATAAGGGTCCCCTAGTATCATTTCCATTACTGCCAACTACAGAAAATATCCCCCAGTGTATTAGCTCCAACAAATAACTAGAGAGCAGCATCTTAATCCATAGTCATACTTAGTAAATCCATTAAACTCAGAAACGACAAAATTACAGAAGGAATCGTTTACACACTATTTTTGCCTCTAACTTGTATACTATAAACGAAGAGTTTCAGCTCCGGGAAGCTTCACGTACATATGTGCATGAGGTCAATTGGAGCACAAGTTAGAATAAATATGAAAGCTATTGCAGTCAGAAAGAACCAGCAATAAAAAAACTTCATTTACATTAGAATTGAAACCTTTTTTGTGCATTCTGAGCCTACTCCGATCAAATTAAGAGACCTGTATTTAAGGTCTTAATCTCTGCATTTTCCAATATGTCCAATACTAGAATTTACAGATCATTACAGGAAGAGCCTCAAACCGCAATTTGTTTTCCCTCGAGAGATTCTAAGTACGAGTCTTTGGAATATGTCCTCTGTTTCAAATTACAATTCTTCCCATGAACTGTCATTCTTAATTCATGACAAATGAATGACTCTGATCAAGAACTTCCACTCATCTACATGTTATATGAAAGAACAACACTTTGAAGCATTTTCCTTTCTTTTTCCTCCCGCTATCCAAAAACCAAATTGCGAGACTCGACAGAAAACCATCAATGCACCGAAAATTTTCTCAGAGGAACATCATCATGCATCACAATGCAGTTCAATTCCTCTTGTACTTTTCGAGGAACTAAGCAAATGGAGCAAGACCCATTTCTCTCGGCTAATACACAAACACCAAGACTTAAAGCTCCACTTATCATCTTCATTTACCTTCACAACACAATTACTACCTGAAAGTTGCAGCACCAATACACAGCACCCAAAGCCAAAACTCTAATTAAACCCCCTTAAAAATAATTAATCCAATTCAGGTCTTAATCGCCACAGAAATCCAGTATACATTCAAAGTTCATATCCACAACGCTATAATCTCTGCTTTAATTCAAACACAGACCTAATCCTCAATCAAAATCACAACCAAAATATAAAATTAAAAAAAAATTAAAAAAATAAAAACCCTGTTTGGCTTCCGAGAAATACAAGGAAAAAAAAAACGAGATTCTGTGTCAGTTATGTCATTAGCTGGTTTTACTTCCAATTTTCTCAAAAATTTAAGTGAGCCGAAAACGGTGGTGGTGTGATTTGAAAGGGAAAATTTCATGAGAAAGTTTGTAAATTAAATTTTCTCGGAAGCCAAACAGGGAGCTGAGAAGAAAAAGGTGAGAGAGATAAAAGGGGAAAGGATTTTATGGGGGGAGAAAAGGTGAGGAGGAAATAAACGAACCTGAAAGGCGAATCAAGCAAAAACGACGCCAGGAGAGCTCAAGCAATTGGAGCCTCGAAACGACGATGGAAGCTAAAGCGAAAACACAAACTCGTGATTTTTCTGTTTAATTTTTTATTTTCTTACTAGGGCTTGATTTTGGGCGGGTTTCACTGCCCTAACCCAAGCCCGATATTACAATTGGCCAACTTAAAAAGTGATTTGATTGGGCCTGGTATTGGGCCCCAAAATTTTGACTCCCTTATAATAATGTTACGTTCTTTTTTCTAACGGCATTTGGAAATTTTGACGCCCCTATAAGAGCAACTCCAGCGGATGCTGGTTGCTCGGGCGACAGGGGAGGAGAAAGGGCATGAGGGCCGGTGGGAGCAGCTCCAGCAGGGAAGGGCCCGAGTGAGGGTGGGAGCCCGAGCGAAGGGGGGGTGGGGAGTCGACGGGCCTGTGGCCCGAGGGCTTTGCAATTTTTTATTTTTTTTTGTGTCAGAGAGAGAGAGAGAGAGACGGTTTTTTATTTTTTAAACAAACAAAAAAAACTATTATTTTAATTGCTTATTGTCAGGGGGAAGGGTTCCAAGGGTGGAGACGTAAATGGCAATTACTGTTCATTAATGGTAGTTACTATTCATTTAAGGCAGTTACTGTTTAATAGGGTGGATTGAATAGTGAATTGCCAGGGGCAAGGGCTCCATGGGTGGAATTGCTCTAATAATGTTACGTTCTTTTTTTTTTGGATGGACTATTTGTGAATTTCAACACAACTGGAAGTATCGTTTGATGTCAAAGAAATTACTAGTATATACAAGTCACATTCACGTCTAAATCTCATAAGAGAGAGGAAGTTATGTGACGAGAGAGATAGAGAAACAAGGATAGGCAAGTATTTCCGCTCGGGCAGGATGACGCTATTGCTCTCTCCAGGCTGTGTGATGACAACTTTACTGCAGGCACTCGAGATATATTTCCAGGTCAAAATCAGGTATAATTCAAATATTTACAAGTTATATGGTTGAAACAAATTTAGAACAAAAATAACATACCTACGCTGGTATTTTGGATCTCCAAAACCCCATTGCAAAAAAACATGAAAACATCAAAATCCATAGAAATGAATACGGCGAAAACGCCATGAGCTTTAGCTGGCAGTCATTCTTCATACGGTTATGAATTTCGTCTCTAAACCTGGCTTCCGAGAGCAAGCACAAGAACACAAACGATTTCAAAGAAAATGGATGAAATATTATCGTCCTAGCGGTGACAAGCACAAGAACGACAGGTAAAATGGAAAAAAACCATCTCTACGGAAAGTAATCACAACAAGATACTGCATTTGGGAACATGCACCAACCCCTTCTCCAGTAGAGCCTTCTGAAGCAAACTTGTATTCAACCGGAGAGTTGTCAGATTGCAAGAAACACACCGTGTTGGCACTTCCACTTGGACATAATTACTGAAACATTCGGAGGAAGTTGTTTGCGTATGCCATTGGCTTGACGTCAGGATGTGGCTGCAATATTATACAACGAAATTTTTTTAGTGCAACTAGTCACGACATTATTGTACAGTATGTGCGCGCGCGTGTTTTAAAAAAATGGAGCAGTTAAATTGACCGGAGTCACTGACCACTGCTGAGAAAGTAACAATGTTAGGCTTCAAATCTGGTGATTCGAAACGGATAAAGGCACCCTTGTTACCCATCTGCAACGTGCAAACCATAAACCAAAATTATCAGATGTGCAAAAATAATCTTCAATAAGGTTTCTTATAGAACAAGTTTCACAAGACGAATTTATTAATGATAGAAGAGTAGCCGGCTGGCAATCATTCAGTTACCTGATCACAGTAATTTGGAGCAGAAAAAACAGTGATGAGTTTGCCATCATGCTCAATCTCATAACCCTCGTCCTTTACTTCATGAGATCGCACAACTAAATCTGTAAATTAACAGCCAGGTAAATCCTCCCGTACATCTTTTGGTAAGTAACACCACTAACTTCAGTAAAATGACTTGTGAACACTTGTAAATTTACCTAAATTGTTTTCCTGCAAAAATTTTTTTGTCACATCACCACCAAAAGAAAGACCTACGCCTCGTTTGCTCGGCCCCCTTCCAGGTGCAGGTTGTGGATCACTCCACAGCAATTCACACATTAACCCTGATGAAACCCAGAAAAACAAATAAAAAATCTGCTGGCTAATTAACGTACAGAAGGTTTGTGAAATTGTGCTGGCATTTTTTCAAGCTTTGAATTCACCTGGTGAAGGCCAATAACAGAGGTAACCGAAAAGCAGAATAAAGGGAAGGAATGTAATAAATTACCTTCCTCAGGAGGTTCACAAAACCGATTAATTGCTCTAATGTCGCTGAGTTTCACTCCATCAACACTGAAAAGACCACCATGGACTACAAAAACCTTCCCATTGATTACATGAGCCAGCGGTAGACAACAAAACACTTCGGCAAACAGCTCCACAAACTTTTCACTTAATTTGGACTGGACCTCGCCCTCAAAACCATATATCCTATTCATGCTCTTGCTCTCATGGTTTCCTCTTGCGAGATATATAGCTGAAAGTCATACAACAGGTTACCAATTCAGAACAATATTTCTTTCCAATAGAAAAAAAGAAGTTGGAACATGGTCAGATTAATGAGCAAAAGAAATGTGTTGAAAATAATATTGAAATTGGAAGGAGGAGCAACACAGTAATATCTCACGACAAAGTAATTGAAAAATGGCGTCAACTTGACTTCAGAAAGGATATGGAAGGCCTAAAAAAATTTCTAACTACACTAACAAAAAAATTATAAACAGATCAAGAAAACAAAAGGATTCACCTGATGGAGACATGCACTTAAATGCAAACAACGTTAGGATCACCTCCAAAGAAAAAGATCCCCTGTCCACAAAGTCTCCATTGAATAGATATGGATTCTCGTCTGAAGGAAGCCCGTTAAGCTCAAAAATATTTAGAAGATCATAAAACTGCAGGCAATACAAACAAACAAATGAGAGAGTGCCTAGAACATTAATAGATACATATCATGTAGACAACCACCAAAACCACCAAAACTACCAAAACTAGAAGCTATAATACTTTAGTCGGACTAGGCTGACTTCAGAAAAAACCATAAGACAATATGAAATTGAAATATTTATTGTTTCACCTAGTATTTGACATTTTACGGGTCAATACCCCTTTATTTCTCTATCAATTAACTTTCTAAGATGTTGTATGTTGTTCAAAGTCAAATCAAGCACTTGATCCAGTATCTTATGGATATGGAAGAGATGTATTACCTGACCATGTACGTCACCACAAACAGTAAAATGTTTGCCCTCAGGAATGTTTATATCGACCAGAGAAGGCATGGCTTGCAACATTTCTTTCGTCTGTAAAACAATTTGGAACGCATATCTACAAAATTGATACCGGGTGAAGTGAAAAAAGTGTCCAACAATATTTTGCTGCCAAGGTCCATGACAGTGAGTACTGTAATTTCCCATACATACCGCTGGTGTAAATTCTTCTGATTCTTGAAATCCTCCATCATTTTCTTCACAAAATCCAAAGTAACAACGTCTCCTTCTATCCTTGCACCAGCATATTGTGTCTCCACATCTAAAGTTGAAACAGATATCACTTTCATTAGCTCGAGTGCTAAAGCACGTAAATAAGCTTTACCCAATGTAAACGTAAATAGGACCTTATTATATCATTAGTTTGAGAGTGAGGGTTTGGCCATAAGAGAGTCCCTCCACTTATATAATCTATAAAATTCAAGGGCACTACTTTTATGTGGGTACATGCATGACCTTCACCAAGGCATCAAATGTTAAAAATATGGAACATACTATTTTCTACCTGATTGTACATGTCAAAAGGATGGATGCTGAATCAGTCATCAATATCCAAAAAAGAAATTAGCAACTCCATTGCACTGCAATAAGTGATAACTTTTACGACACGTGTGGCTGTAACAAATAATATGCCACATTTGAAATGAGTCCAGAAAATCAAAGTTGCTTACCAAATGAAGCTAGATAATGCAGGCACACAAATAAACACAAACAAAAGAAAGATATATCCGCTCATGAGAATTCTTATTCGATGAATACTTTAAGCTTCCTGGTTTGATTATTTTCTTAGCGTTGCAAACTTGGTTTTTTTGTTCCAATTTTCTGTGACCAACTTTAGATCCAGAGCAACATAGACTTTAGAACAAGCAAACAAAGTTCAATCCCGACTCTAAGAAAGTTGATCTAGAAAAAAAATAAATAAATATATATATATATAAGGCCTAGATCTACCCACTTGGGTTAGCTAGAGTAAATATCATCCACGTTCAACTCTTTTTAACTCCATTAAGACCATGCATTTGACTGAAAATCCATTCTCAAGGAAGTATGCCATCTAAATGGTAGGATCAAGAATGCATTAGCAGTGAGTGAATGAATATATTAGTTTGTAATACATCTCCTAGAACCTAACAGAACTTTCCAACTATTAGAAGTTATGAGAGTGACTTTGACTATTATCTTATGCTTCATTGATTGTGAACTCAAACCTAGGTTATTTACTCGACTTCCATGAAAGCCACGCCACCAACATGCCCCTAGGGCCACCATGATCACCACCACTATTGTGGCCACAACTGCAGTCAGAACTGCAGTCACTTCTGCTCTGAACATAACCAATGCTGCCACAACTCCTAGTCCAATTGCTGCTATGTAGTAGTCTGGTGACATACTGGGGGCCATTCCTATAATGATACAATATATAAGAATACTACAATTAATGCTATTAACAGACACTATTTAGTCTAGTTCACATTAATAGAATTTTGAAATGAAATGATAATCAGTTACTTAATGCTGATCAAGCTTATTTGGTGCTAACAAAACTGAGGATATTCCTTACTAACGAGCAACCGAGACAAGAAAAAGGATCCTACCCCGACACCAACAGAAACAGATTCAACTAATGCATATATTATACGGCGTTAACTTTTGTGTACAGTTCATCCATCTGTAAAAACAATTTGGACAACTATGTAGTCCCAAAAAATCCATGAAGCGTAACCGACATGAGAGACAGGTGAGAACCCGATATGAGAGGATCCTTCCATATCAAACTCAACCCAATGAAAACTCATTCATCCAAAATATCCCTACTAAACGCCCCATTTAATGAAATTTGAATGTGCAAATGATCACTTGTTCAATAAAAATGAAAAATAAAAAAAGAGGAACTTCTAGGTAATAATGGACCCTCTGAACCATAGCACTGACAAAATCGCCTGTACAAATACTACCCAAACACCACCAGTTCCATCCCTACTGCCATGATTATAGTTTTGGTACATTACATGGTCAACATGCTCACTTCTGCAGCTCTCTTATCTTAACCTAATAGCATCCACTACCAAGGCAACCAACACTAACGAATCTTAGAAATACACTCAAACTTATCAAACATGGAAGCTGCTTTAAGAGCTGTAAACCTGTTTAATTCAGAATCAATAAATGACAAATCTAAAAACTATCTTTCATAATTACAAGTGTTGGTGAAAATTTGAGCCTTGAAATTCTTAAATATCCCTTGGGAGTTCAGACAAAAAAGTCAGTATTATGGTATTAGTGCACTATATAATGGCTCAAGTAAAACTGATACAAAGAGGGATTGGTAACAAAGTTTAGGATTTTACAAAGAAATGAAACTGAATCGGGTAAATAGTAACAGAACCATGAAATAAATCAGGTACCATCATACATTTCCAAGAAAAGAAAACAGACACCAGTGTTGGTGAGTGCAAATCTTGCAGTTAACAAAACTTCAAACCTAAAAGAGAAATTTTTAAATCGAACTACTATATTTTCTTTAATAAGAAACCAATTCCACTAAAAAGATTAGAACAAAACAGGGGATGCATCGGCCTGTTATCGCATTCACTCTTTTTGAAATAGCATGCACTTGAGCACATTTCAAAGAATAAGATCCACACAATGCCTTGAACATATATATCAACATTCAGAAGCATATACAAGCAACTCTAACAATAATAAAACCATTGCTTGAAGCATACGATGATGAAATTCTGCAAAAATTGAAACGTAAAAAGACAAATACAGAAATAAAATCTATATAAGATAAGCAGAAGAAGGTGGAAAAACTCGGACAAACATAACAATAAATAGGACAGCATAAAAGCAACAACACTAATACCTATAGAATGATAATTAATAGAATCAGCTACAGGACGCCTTTCAGCCTCCGGTACAGATATTGCTTCGGCAAATTTAAGTTTCATCACTGCTTTCTCACATTCCTTCAATTTCTTGGTAGCATCAGGATCATTTGGACAGATTCTTTTGACCTATTTTAGATCAAGGAAAAAATTCAAACAATGCAGCCTCTTAGAGAATGTTACCAAAAGAAAATTTGGTGCCCGTTTTCAAAGGCATCCTTCTTCTCAAAGGAAAGACGATGGCATTACATAAAAATCTTTGCACACTTTGATTTTTCTTTTCTTACACTAGACCTAAGCTTGTCTTATCACATTGAAAATTCTGATTAAGGAGCTTATGAAATTTGATAGGCTACCCCAGCCGCTCCATGTTCAGATATGGGGGACGTACCATGTTTCAGTAAGGGTTCCAATTGCACAAACCATAACCATCTACAGTTTAGCATTGCTCTAGTAAATGTGCATATTAGAGATGTGAGCCACAATGAATAAGGACAAAGATTGTGTTCTAAGACTTTCACAGACATTTAAAATGCAACTTTATAGTGATAAAATGACGAAGAATTACGACCTTCAGAATGTGCAGCTTTGACTCTCCAGAAATTTAGATTTATCTTTAATGAAAACACTATCAGATGTATATGGTAAAAAACAACCAACTAGGCAGATAACCATTTTCACATGATGAATAGATTGTTTAAAATCCTCCTATCAATATAGATATTTTAAATGTACTGGTCTCAATAAAGATATTTCACCTTCTTGCAGTTTAATATGAATCTGATAGTAGGTATTGAAATTTAATTTTTGTCAGAATTTTCAAGAAGAAAAGTGCTGGAGAAAGTACCTGCTGAAAATCCTTTAACGCTTCTTTAAATTTCCCCATAGCAAGATAAGCTGCACCTCGCCTGTAGTATCCCTGCAACAACAGAAAACCATCAGAACACAATCACACATGTCTAAATGCACAAAACCTAGGGGATAAAACATGCCTTTGAATATTTGGGATCAACTTCAATAGCCTTGGAAGCATCTTGTATGGCGCTACCATACTCCTCCAGTTTAAGGTGGGCAATTGAACGATTGGCCCAGTATACAGCATTCTGACTGTTTAATTCAATCGCTTGTGTATACAGATCAATAGCTTGAGCAAACTTATGAGCTGATATCATAAGGAAAATATGAGCACACTGATCATACCCCAAAATAAACACACTACAAGTACAAACAAATCAAAATTAAACTCTATGCGAGGACTGCGGCATTCTCGCCAATTGTGAGGAAACAAATAGATAAAGTCGATGTCTCGTATGAATTCATTCAATTCAGTGCACTTGTGTGAGCTCAAGATTCTAAAAGATGCTAGGCACTAGTCAGGCGGCAGATTGGGGCTTAGCGGTAACTAGGTCGGGCTAGGTGGATTTAAGTAAATTTATTATATATCGTATAAATAAATGTCTGCTTATACTTAAAAATACATAATTGCATTGGGATAAATAAATTGAAAATGAGAATGGCATAAGATTATAAAAGTATTAGAACATAACAATGTATTAAAAGCGTGAGGCGTGGGCAAGGCGTCTGAGGGATAGCCCGGCCTAGGCGTCACGGGACCTAAATTTTTTAATATATACACTGAGCGTACACATATATTATAAATATATATACACACACATATATATACATATATTATATATATATATATATATATAATAGAGGATGAAAAGCACAATGAGCACACATATAACAATGCACGCAGATAGCACACACATCCATTATATAAAAAAAGTAGAGAGACAATAGTGCAAGGAAGAGGTCTGAAGCAGTTAAAACCTATCCAAAATTTGGGTTTAGGAGTAAAAAAAAAAAAAAAAAAGCCCCTGAGGCGCACCTAGGCGGCTCCGGCGACGCCTTCCGCCCACTCCCTTAAAACAGAGGCGGCAACCTTCACGCCCAGCCTTAGAGGACGCCTAGGCGTGCCCTGAGGCGAGCCTTTTAAAACATTGGAACATAATGAAAACATGGAGAACAAGCATATCATGTGTGTTCATCTAAGTATCCGACAAGTCTCTTACAATTTATCGAAGAAAATAAAATGCAAAACGAAAGTTATCTATTTTCTGTCTAAGTGAAAGTCTCGACTTAGGCGGGTCTGGACGGGCTAGGCATGCGCCTATGCAGGTCTAGGAGCCCTTTCTTAATTTTCAAACGACTGGGGGTTAATCGGAGCGGTGGTCACTTGTTAGGCTTTTTAGAATAGTGTGTGAGGTATAATGTTGGCCACTTGTTAGGATTTACTATTTAGCAACACCGAAAGTAAATCTCACTTGTATCAAATCTATTTTGATTATTTAAATTTTGAGTTGTAAATACACGTACATAAAATCCAAGAAATTAAAAGGATAGTTTATTTCATTGTCATACATATTAAATTAAATTAAAAGGAAAAAAAAGGTAATGACAAATTGTAGAAGCACGGATTATTACCTTTATATGCTTCATTGGCAAGGAGCTTAGCATCTTCAGCTTGCTTAACATTAGCATTATCAGTTTCCATGATGGGCATAAACTTTGTCGTCTACAATAAGTAAAGTGGAATATTAGCAAATTACAGATTCCATGATTAATTTCTCATCCTCACTTTACAATCAATATCAGCTCTCAAGTAAGGTTGAGATGACATATCAGGCAATAAACAGTTCATCTATCCTTCGAACAGACAAAAAAAATTTAAATTGCAATTCAAGAAAATATCAATGATTCGTCAATATGAATACTAATATGCTAGTCATACTCAATGCCCATTAATACTTTTCTAGTTCAACTTAGCACTGAATCAGAAGAATTCATTATACATGTACCTCCGATGACTAAACTCTACGTTGCCATACATCGAATGATTATGATTATTTTCTACCAATCGGAAGCTATATTCTTCCCCAATAGAATGTTCACAGCCACATAATGTTAAATGTCACATCTGCAATTGTGTAAAAATCTCATTCTCCATCGGAATACCATAAATGACATTCAAGCAATTGTCTTTTAGCATCGGACATGGCAAAAACAGATTCCTCCGTTCCTGCAGTTACTAGTTACGGACAAAAGTTAGCTCCTTTAGAGCGATTAACAGCTTCACAACTGTGACACACAGCTTTGGAAGTTCCAAAACTTCGGCGTATGTTAACGCTATCAACACCTTACAAAAGTGTCACAAAAGACACAGACCCATTAACCTTAGAAATCGAAAATGTCCTATTCTATCATGTTTTCTTAATTATTAATTAGTAATTCCAACAACCCATGTGAAGCAAAAAAAATTCTAAATCACCAACAACACAAATTGAATGAAATCCTATGTTGTCCAAAAATGATACGTACAGCTTCAAATTCTAAGATTTTCAATCTCCGAAATTTCGACAAAAATTGGGACCCGAAAAGCAGACAAACCGACCCTTGAAACAACTTTGCTCGGCCAATGTGAATTCTAATTAAACAAAAACCAAACATATGATCCACTAATTCGTAAAATTCATTAACAGCAACCGTACGGAACAGATATTTAAATAGTGCATCAGTTAAAAGAAACAGTTCGGGAAAAATTTACAAAAGAATAATCCTTTATTTTTCTCAGAAACCAAACAGGGAACTAACCCAATAGAAGAAAGTATATACCTATTGCATCAGCAGACAGTATCAGATCTCGGCAGAGAGAGAAGAGATACCAGAGAGAGACAGTTGGAGGGAAAGAGAAACCCTAATTTTATAGGACTCTGGGTTTAGATAGATATACAAGGGTTTAGACTTCAGAGGCAAAACTATGTATGTCTGGGTCTAGAGGGGAGTAAAGGGGGTCTTGGTCTAGTTCATTGTATGTCTGGCTCTAGAGGGGGAGAGAGAGAGAGAGAGAGAGAGAGAGAGAGAGAGAGAGAGAGAGATTTTAGGAAGCTTATTTTCTCTGTGATTTAAAAAAAAAAAAAAGAAATTGTCTTGTTAGGCTTTCGTTCATGTGATTCAAAATAAAAGACAAAGTTTACTGATTAGAAATGCAATTTCAGGTTGTAAACAATTTAGTCATTTTGGATTTCACAAGATTTTAATAAACCTTTTTTTAAGTAAGATTTCAAAGAATTTTAATAGAGTTTACATTTTATATGGATATCAACAGACTTATATGGATTTCTGTTATAGATTTTTATGGATTTGTATGAACTTGTCTCGTGGATTTCTTAGGATTTCTAAACATCACCAAACCAATATGAGCATGGTACTCAATCATTTATCTTTCTTTATTTTCCGACCCAATTTGTAAACATCACCGAACCTTATGTAAAAATTCTAACTTACATCAAAACATTGACCCAGCGTGTAGAGATTCGAATATAACAATAGTCGAGTGTATTAATTTGTTAAATTGGCAACAATAGTTACATATTTTCAATTGCAAGGCTAAACTCTTTTGGAAGCAATTCTAGTTTATTCACTCCAACTTTTGATGAAATTGATGAATCATAAGAATGCTGAGGTCACCAAAAATGCCTTGCTTGGTATCCTCTTTTCCCAGGTACCAAGTATGTGAGCTTTTTGCAGGCTTAGAGATGTTTATGAAGGAAGAGGTGGCGTTGTCACAGTAGTAGTGGTTTACATATTTATCTATTTTGAGTAATACCTTTCACGCGGCTCTGTAGTTAATTGAAAATTCATTTGTTGTTGTGTTAAATAAATATGGAATTGCATAAAGGGATAACAAAAACATGCGTGACCTAAGAGAAAGCCTTTGAACCGGAACTTCGAGACGCGACCAGTTGTTGGAATTGGCTGTGGGGTTTTGTGTTAAAGGGAGATGATGAGACGACATAGTGATAGTGATGAGCGGTTTGAATGCAAGTAGTGAGGTTAGTATGAGAGAGAAACTTGAAAAGAAATCCTAGGGGTGGAGGTGGGATTCTTTATAGTCTTTGTATGTGTAAAATTCACTCACAAATCCTACAAAATCTCTTATTTAATGAAATCCTTCCAAATCTATGACATTTTGAATACCTACAGATTTACACCTTGGATTTTAAATCCTAATTGACTACCCTTGGATTTGGATGCATTCTTTTAAATCCTGTTAAATCCTAATTGACTACTTCATGATTTCAAAGTCTTTTAAAACTCTCTCTTAACATCGTGATTCTAAAGTCTTTTAAAATCCCTTCAAATCTTAATTTCACTACACCCAATGAAAGTGAACAATATTCACAAAAAAAAAAAAAAAAAAAAAAAATGCAAATTACACTTCCCTAAGTATATAATTTCTATCAATCATTTATAGTCGGAGCTAATCATGCTTCCTTAATTTAAAAAACAATAAAAAGCAAAACATTTCAATAAATTGACAGATCTATCAATTACTTATGCGCGGAGCACGTTCGCCTTATTTGTATTTTTACACACCTAAATTGGAACACTGGTCCAAAGTTTTAACTCAATTAGATTTTTTGTTTTCGAATAAAAAATTTGTGGATATTGGTTTATGAATTTTTCACAGCGTGAAATAATAGTCATGTTACATAATTAAGTAATTTGTCACAGCTGATGATTTTCGAGCCGCCCTTTTGATTATTCCCTCGACTAACATAGAGCTCACGTTTGAATGTTATAACTCACAGACCCTTAGATTACACAAATTTTTTGGAGGCCGATGACACACTGAAAGCTTCCAGATCAGAGGACCACGTACCTACGTACGTAGTTTGCCTATCATAACCGCGCTTAATATGACTCAAGCCTCCTAAGTTGCTAACCGAAACACCATGGAATGGTTTGTACCAAAGTTGTTCACCTGATGGATGGGCTTTTGAATTGTTTTCCTCATCGAAGTTCGAACCTAAAATGGTGAACCATGCAAATCCAAAAGAAAAAAAAAATTGCTACATACATTGTCCATAGTAAAACGTCGATATTTTTGTCGTTAGGGACTAGAATTATAAGCTGTAAAGTGTTGTAGAAAGATGACATCAGTAGCTTTCCAATGATATAAGCCTCACTATTCAATTATATATGATGAATTCCAGTTTAGTCCACAAAGTGGAGTGATATGCATAGACAGATTGTTGTTTGCATCTTTATTCGTTTCAGAGTTGCTTTATGTTTCGTGTTGGAACTACGCTTGGGTGAGTTTGGAGTTACAAACACACTTTTCATGTCCTCCGGATTAACTTATTCTTGTACTTTAGCTCATAAATGATGACATGTTGTCTAAACTTAGTCACCTCACTCGTTCATTCTAGATGAAGCATTCGAGATTTTGCAGGATTCGAGATCACGTCAATCCCAGATTATAGGAATCTACAAGAATATAGGAAACCCATCTGATCCTTAATCAAGTTAGGTTTTTGTGTCTTGTGGAATAAATATATCTTGTTTGGTGCCCAACAAAGCGTGGAGGCACCATGGGTCCGTTTATTCACCTAGTTACGATTGGAGTTCTTTAGTCCATGATCGGACTTCAAATGTGCACTTACTCCAGATAATTTCAAAGTAAATTGGACTATTGGAGTAACAATGTCGTTCGGATTTCTTCAAGTGTGGGAATCTGGATCCATAATCGTCATGTGATAGAGAAGTCATTCAGAATTCATAAATTTTTTCTTCGTACTCCATATAGTATGTCCCCTGTTCTTTTTCGTTACAAACTAGTAGTGGATGAGGACAATAGTAGAATCACGCAGTGCTTTGTGAGTGACCTTGTTTTTAGCTTGTCAGAGCGGAATTGCATTAGTAGGAATCTTTAGGTTAACTGTTAACTTAGTCGTTATTGTGTGTATCCTAAATATATGGGTTGTTCCAGCACGTCGGGTGTCAATTATATGACTTCAGAGGAAGAACTTGAGGAATTTTGCAGAGAATTCCAGCTTATGCTACGAGTGGTAAACGACAATAATGTTCTCCATGTAGCTTAGAATTGCATTCCTGGAAAATTTTACATAAAGCTGGCATCCATATCTTCACGATGGTTTATAGTACGGAGCCCAATTCTTTTAAAGCATATACAATTTAATCTATCAATTTGACAGTGCTGCTGTGATGTACTGTTTGGGTTAACTTGTAGTTTAACTGCTTTGCAAACCAGATTTGAGATCGTTATGTCATCTAGAAAATTCTGTAAAATAATAACATTGTAGATACAATCTACTTCTTAGCTTCCTAGGCGTACATGGCGCGTCACTTGGAAAAATCGAAGAGGTTCTTGCTCTTCGTTTTCCCTCATCTGTGCAGCTATGACACGAATACAGCTTCGGATGTCCTTGTGTGAGGAACTGGATGGGTTGGTTGCGTAGAAAATTCTGAAAACTTGACACAACGATCTTCAACATCATAGAACCTGGCTTGTGTTAAAATTTATTCGGGAAATCAATTTTTTATTCAAAATCTTCTAAGTGCAGAATGAGCTTTAAGGCATGATTACATTGCCCCTAGAGCTTTGTATCACTTGCCGCAGTCGGAATGCTAATGGATTTGGATTTAGTTGTATGAAAAGTTGATTGTAAACCTTAGACGAGAGGTCTACAAGTTGAATTTGCAATGAGGCGTTAGTCAGCGCAGAGCCAAACTTGCCCTTACTTCCTTCTTGCAAGCTTTTGTGAATCAAGTTCATACCCAAAAAAGCTAAGTAACACCATTTGAAAATTAAATAATAATGCCGCCTTGTCCACATAGCACATCACATTGAGCTCCACCATCTCGAACACATTGCACTATATATTCACTCTCTCTAGCTTTCTCTCTCTACAATGAAAAGCAGAAGCCTTTTGAGAAAAGTGTAAAGTGGCTTTTTCCATGGCGGAGCTTTGAGATAAAGGTATGTAGAAATGAAGTGAACACTGACAGCTAAGGTTTAAAAGCATCCCAATGGTGTAGGCAAATATAATAGAAAAAATACTATAATAATTGACGTGACAAGTTGTTTATTAAATTTGTCTCATGTAGGCAAAATTGAATAAGCAAATCAAGTAGGCAAAATTCTATTTTATTATTTCTTTCACCTTTGATATTTACTGATCTGCTATTTGACCATCATACACTATGGCAATGTGGAATCTCAACACGCATCCTTTTGGTGAGTAGCTCGTGCCACGTTTGCGCGCCTGACGATATGCACGGGATAACAGTTTAGTGATTAGATTTTCCTCGCACTCTTGTGATTCTTTTTTATGATCCTACTTCGAGACTTGATTATAATATACCTATTAAACATAAATTGTAACAATGGTCTCTTAATTTTAATTCAATTAGAGTAATGATCCCTTAACTCATCAAAACGTGCAGTTATGGTCTCTCAACTAAAAATTCATTACCATTGGTCATTCAACCTTAATCCAACTAGAGAAATTGTCCCTTAACTTTAACCCAATTCGAGCAATGGTCTCTAAACTTTAATTCAATTGTAGCAATGGTCATTCCAACATTACTTGTTTTGATAAAATTCTGACGAAGTTGACGAAAAGAACCATAGCTACACGTTTTGATGAGTTAAGGGACCCCAATTGTAGCAATGGTCATTCCAACATAACTAATTTTGACGAAATTGATGAAAATGACCATAGCTACACATTTTGATGAATTGAGAGACCAATAGTAATTAATTTTTAGTTGAAAGATCATTACTCTAATTTGATTAAAGTTGAGAGACCATTGCTATAATTTACTCCAACATATATTGTAATCAGTCTTCTTATTTGGTTTGAACTGTAAGTGTAACGCATGAAATGAATCAACGAATTCAAGTTATTGAAAAGATGAGTTTTTCATGCCAAGCTCATGATGTTCGAGTTGACATTGACAGTTAAAAACAATATACTATAGAGGACTTTATGTTATGTTATTAACTGTCACGTTTAAACGAAAGAAAATACTACTACTAAATAGTAATTTTAATGATAAATATCAACTCCCCTCTCTATTTTCATTTTCTGTTTTGTTTTTATTTATAAAAGTTTGAGCTGACATTTTAGACCCGATAAGATAACGTGGCTCGATGAAACAAATGAACATGAATTGGCCATAATCGTACCCGTTTCATAATTATGTCAACCTATTTAACGTAGTTAATAAACAGTTTGTGTTTCAAGCCAACTCGCTAAACTCATAAAATGGCATGTTTGACAATCATATTATTTGCTGAATCATATACAGCTCATAAAACCATATTACATGTTTTTTTTATTTTTTGTTTTTTAATGGAGTATAACACATTATAAACCATTTAATTCTTTTAATGAATTTAAGGGTATTCAATCAGGATTTTAAATGATTATCTGAAATTCAATGACACACCCCGTCCCGAAGGAGGGTATGCTGGTCGTCATGTGAGAGTGACGTAACCATTTACACGGTTCGGAAGCTTTAAAGACATAAATACTAAGGTATAATACCCGAAAGTGAAACCTACGTTTGTGAAATTCTGTCAGAACACCGTTGAATTCCTCGTGGCCACCAAAGCTCTGCTCTATCTCGAACCTGGAGGGGCGAAAAAACAAAGTTGAGTGGGTCAGTAAAACCAATCTTTTCAAGACAAAACATTTCTCAAAACGTTGTAACCCCTCTCCGTAAAACCTGTACTTTCCCAGAAAAATAGCATATGTACAAATATACTTTCATAAATCTCAAAACTCATTTCTTTAACACTTTTCGGAAAAATATGCCATGCCATGCCAAACTATAATATGAATGCATCAATATAAATCAGGTGAAAAATAAATCAACCAGAGACCCTACAATGGTCCTGTACGGCTGAAACTATAGCTTAAAATCTCATCCAGCCGGAGTCACCAACTGTGACCTGTACGGCCCTGCCGGAGTCACCAACTGTGACCTATACGGCGCTACACTGCACATAAGTCGGAACTACCTAAAGTAGTCTGTACGACTATAATGGTGTAATAATACGCTCTAGTGCTTCTCTCATCAATCATTTGTGCACATAATCTAAGGTCACCCACCAGTCGGAACCCCTCTAATGGTATGTACAACTGGCATGTCGGAACCACCTCTAGTGGTCTGTACGACATCCACCTACTTGGATCCAAGGCGAGCGTGCGGTGTGGTGAATAATATAAGCACTAATACCAAAGGTGCAGTTTATGAGCTCACAACGCAATCACACATCATCATTCATTCATATAAACCATATAAACTCACCTGATACTCACTTTTGCGTCCACGGCACCAATTCACACATATATGCATCAATTATCAATTCATAACTCATAATATGCATGCATGGCATTTTAGAAATATAATTTCATTTAATTGCATTTTCTGGGAAAAACAGTAGTATATAGGTAATACGAAAACAAAACTGCCCACTCACAGATATGTCGAAGGGTCGTAGCCCCCGAGCCTCCCTTAACTTTGCTCATCGTCCGTATAAGCCTCGCCTATATGAGAAGTAACCGAAATAATGTTATTTAAGCACATAATCAAAACCTTGGAAATAACTTCTCATACGTTGCTCAATTTGGGTATAAGAATATACCACAGTGATCTACTCAACCTCACGAACAACCCCATAATTTTAGAAAAATTTTCCGACCACCCACGCGCCGGCGAGTGCACGGCAAGACGCGCGGCCACGCGCAAGGAACCCTAACGGTAACAGTAACGGCAGTTAGGGAATATTCCGTTAAAAATCAGCATATACCGTTTAATATAACTGACGCCGTTAGCATATTCCGTCAGACTTGACGGAATATACTCCTCCTTCTTCCTTGGTTCGCCGGAGACCGTCGCCGGTGCCGCTGCAACTCGCCGGTTTCTGGAAATTTTTCCAGGCTTCGTATTTCAGTCAATTCTTAACCATTTTTCATGAAATCTTCACCAAAATGAAGCTTACAACATAAGAAACAAAACTTTACCAAGATTTGGACCTAAAACCTTCGAGAATTTGCCAGAGATCCTTCGATAATTCCGGCCAAACTGTGATGCTTCGATCTCGGTCTCCAGACGTCTAAATCACCTCATTCTTCCTCTCCGAGCTTCGTGGAGAGGTCCTTAAGCTCCCTATGAGCTCCAAATACCTTGAAACCTTCAATTCCACGAGCACATGAACAGTACCAAATATTGGGTTCTTTGGTTCTACACAATCCCGACGTCCAAACTTCGTGAAAATGGTACTCCGAGCATCATGAGGGTGATCTAAAGCTTCCCATAAGCTCAGAATCAACTGAAACCCCCACGATCGCAAGAGTATAAACAGTGCCTTCTTTGGGGTGCCTGGGTTCTCGGGTTTTCAAAGGTTTCACGTCCAACAATTGGTATGGTTGAGTTCGCGATGACGAGAGGAAGGAGATGGTACTAATCACAAGCTCGATCTGTGCATAAATGGGTTGGTTTGAGGTTCGTCCGTACGTTTGTACGGACGTTGCAGAAAATCGAAAGGGAGAAGAGAGAGAAAAGGTCAATGGGTGGGTGAATGTGTGATCCAGCCAACCAAGGCAAAACAACAACAAAAATAATTCAAGTCTAAGTCCCTAATTGGTTCCAAAATATTAGGGACTTAACCTATTTGTCCACATTCACAACTTAAGCCATACAACGCCACAACAAAATTCATTAACCCAAGGGCAAAATCATCTTTTCACGCCATCAGAAAATAAAATATTCCAATATTTTGGGACGTGCTGTTACATTCAAGGTGTATTCAATTAGAATTTAAGATAGTTTATTAAAATCCTTAGAAATCCGAGTTATTCAATTATGATTTTAAAGAAGTTTATAACATTTTAGGAGTATTCAATTATAAATTGATTTTAAAGAATTTGAGAAAGTTGAGGAATTAGAGGGAATTGAAGAAATTTCGTAGTGTATTTTAAGTATCCACAAATCTCACCTCTCCCTATCAGATTTCGAGGGAATTGAATCAGAATTTTATATGAAATCTCTACAAATCAATTAAACTCTATAAAAATTCATGGACTTATAAATCCATTAAAATCTCTAAAATTATCAATTGAATACACCCCCTTAAGGTCAAATGACACGTTTAATCCTTTTATTTTATCATTTTTATGTAAGCATTATATTCTACATGTGATTTTGTACCTATGAATATTAGTAAATTTGCATATAATAATATACACATCCGAAAGTATTTTTAAAAATAAAAATATTTCCACACGTGTATCAATCATTTATTAAATTACACATATTTTAAAAATCCAAAATGACATGTACATACATAATTTTTTTAATTTTAAAATGCATTGTATTTCCCACATTTGTCAATAGTATACATAAAATTACACGTATACTGCACGTATTTTGACATATTATTGAAGAAATAAAAAAAACAAAAATTTTAAATAGAACATTAAATTTAAAAAAAATACTTTTTAACCAATTTACCGAATATATATATATATATATATATATATATATATTTCAAGTCAGTATTATACCTATTTTTTATTTTACCAACCTTACCTATAAATATTAAATGAAATAAATGCATCATTACTATGTAAAACGTTTAATATATGTTTGATGTTCAATTGAACTCAAAGTCAAAGTTTAGTAAGTGGCCCTTTACCACAATAGGGGAAATGTGAAATTAGTACCAAGCGGAATATCCTACAAATAAAAATTTAATTTTGCATAATAGACTAGTCAAATGAGCTAGTCAATTAGTTACAAGTTAGTCGGTTATATAAAGAGCAGGCAATAACAAATCCTAACTGACCAATATGTCCAACTAATTAGAGTTTACCCAGATTAGTTCATTATGCAAACAGTAATGACAAAGCAATTATAAAGCAAAGCATGCTGGGTTGACTAGTCAATCTCACCAGTCAACTAAGTACAGATTCGTCAGTTAATCAAACGCAAATCCACATATGAAACTTAGTTCACTACAAGTTATCATAGTCAATGACAATTCAATTCATTGCTCATAATATACAGTGTAAACTTAGTCGTAAACACATATCAAACAACAACTTATAGGATGCATGAAACATATGCCAGTAAATAAGATATGCGAACAAGTTTAAGAGACAAAGAACACAAGAAGTTTTTGGCCAAAAAAAAACCCACCTCTGGACTAAAAAATCGAGAACTCTCCGCTGAATCCAATCCACTAGTGTAAACAAAGTTCATACAATGACCACACAAGCTCAATTCTTAAATCCCTATCTACGAAGCAGTTTTACATTTATGCAACCTTGCCTTACTCGAGATGAACTCCTTCGATCTTCACGAAGTGGCAGCTCCTCCTAAGCTCTTCACCTTGTGGCACCTATATAAACTCAAATCACGAAATGATATGATGTTATGATATGCATATAAAATCTGGATTCAACAACCAGTCAGTTTCTCCGATCAAACAGATGAAAGAAGAAACTGACGAGAATCCAAAATGGGTAAGTTTAAAGATTTGAAACTTGAAGAACTTGACCACAAAAATAAAATAAAACCAAGAAGAACAATGCAACCCTATTCTACAATGAGTGAGTGTTTAATGCATGAACACGGTTTTGTAGCTAGGGTTTCTAATGAAGAACACAAGAGGCAATCTAAGGTTTTAAAACACTTTTTGAAAATGTAAAATTTCTTAGCCAAAACAAATGAGCAAATAAGAAGATTTTAAACAAGCATTTACAAAGAAGGATTTATAAATATTCAAAGAAGAATATTACCCAGAAAAATGTTTGATGCTCCTAGGGAGATCTGAGATGAAGAGGAAAAACAAACCCTCTCAAAATTATAAACTTTCTCTCCAAAGAGGAAATGAAATCCTCTAACCCTGTTAAAACAAAACCTTTGATTGCTGCAAACAAAGTACAAAGAGACACTTGTCAAATGTACAAGCAATCTGAGCAAATCAATGGTGAAAAACTCAATCCCGTCTAAAAGGTGCTAGTCAGCCCATGTGGGCTGCCTTAAATTGCATGCCTAACTAACTGGACAACAACGAGAGATTCTGCTAGTCAAAATGCATCAATAAGTTAAATGAAATGCATATGCATGAACAAACCTTTTGTGCTGATGATTGTCTTTCAGTCAATGCCATTGAACGCATGGTCCAATAAAATAAACCCACAATAGGGTTGTAAGAACAAAAAGAATCTAGGAGCATGTGTGGTATCATTTACAACTTTTGACAAGGAAAGCCAAACAAATAACTCTAAACTTCACAATCTCCCTATTTGGCTTTCCTTGACAAAATATCCCAAAACCTATGACTAAATTTACAAATATCCCCACTCAAGATAACATCAATTAACAAAAAAAAGACCAAGTAACAACTCCTGCAAAAAAAAAAAAAAAAAAAAATCTTGGCAAGAAACAAGTGAAATTTATCATGGGTTAGGTAGGTAGTAAACCATATGAAACATTATGAAACATCATTAACATAATTTGTCTCCCCCATTTTGTCATGGTAAGAAAAAGACAAGGCAGATATCACACACAATGTCCAAATCAACAGCAAAAAAACACAACACGATGATAACAAAAGCACAGCGGAAAACAAAAAATAGTACATCGTATGAGCATGCCCAAGCCAAATGAATCAATAATTAGGCTAGCAACAAGTAAAGTCATGTCATAAAAATAATTCCAAATAAAGCAGAAGTGATGCAACTAATAACGTGAAGTCCTAAAAGGAAAACTACTTCCCAATAATTAGGTCTCACCTAAACAACTTACTCCCCCATAAGAAATACTCCAAAAACTTTCAAGCTAGAACAAGGGAGATGAACATAGCATCATAACTTCTTAGAATGGAACTCATCCTCAAAGACATAGTCATCCAACCCAAACTGATTGAAGATATCTTCTTCCAAATTATAGACAGAAGCCGCAGTAGTACTAGAGGCGCAAAATTCAAAGCATACAACCTTTAGGGTTTTGATGAAGGGATTAGAACCATAGATAACTCAATGGAATGTTGGAGATATAGTAAATAATTGCAACTTGACATGAGAGAAGCACACAAGAATAGAGTTAGGAAATGAACTTAGTACACACAGAAAAAGAAAAAAAAATCTTACTCCCCAATAACATGAACTCTCAACAAAATACTATACTCCCCTAAAATGAATGCTCTCATAAGGCAACATGACTCCCCCGTAATATCCAGATGTGAAGATGGAGAATAAGGCATAATATCAACACAAAGTGATAGAATGATACATATGTGCACTTAGGAGATACTCAAACTTAGTGGTGTTAGCATAAGTGATGACAAGATAGTCATATGGTGACAACTTGAGAGATGTGATTGAGAAGACTCCATATAAAAAACATATAAGAGTATTACTTGCAAATTGACAATTCCAAATGACCTAAGTAACCTTAAAATTGTTCACTCTTCTGACGAGAACCAGTTACTCGACATAAAAGAAAAACATGCCCATTTAAAAATGGTTTTGTGCAAGAGCACACAACAATGTACCCAAACAATTTGGACAACACACAACAAAAAAAATTGAAATCAAAGAAGATATGCATAATCTCAGCACCAATAAACTACAACAAACGAGATAATCCACAAGGGAGTTAAAACACAAAGTAGTTTCAATATCTATGCTTCCAAGGTGTCATTAGCAATTCAAAAACTTGAGAAATAGACATGCAGTGCAACTCTCAAATGACAAATCTTCAAAGGCATACATGGACAGTAAAGCATAGATTAACACAAGCTCATAATGCAACAATAATGTGTCAAGGTATAGGAAGATGGACATGTGTAACCTTCTTGAAAGAAAGTGAACTTTAGTGTGGAACTTTGAGTGAGGCACCAATTTGAGATATGCCAAGACCAATTGAATGAAGGTGAATATTTATGAGACACCATATGATTTTTAGAAATTCAAATCCATGACCTGTAGAGGGGATCTTGAAGCACAACTTTATGTCCTTGCATGAAAGGCCAAATTGATGGGAATTTCGCATTTTTTATGATATATGATTTCTTTTTTAAGACACTCCTCTCATACAACACTCTCCCATTTTAATTTTTGTTTCAATTTGGGGAGAGGACAAAAAAGAAGAAGAGAAATGACACATGGTTTAAATTAAAGAGTAAGTAAAGTCACTACAACTTAATTAAGACCAAAGTGAACTTAACCCTCAAATCAACCCAAGCTTTTGTGAGGTAAGAAAATTGATTTTTCAGAGGCTATCTGAATTAATAGGGAGAATCTTTGACATCATAGTGGAAAAATTATCCAAGGTTAATCCACAAAATACTAACAATGTATGATAGTTAAGAGATGCATACAGGAAAAAAAATACAATTATCTGATGAGTCAACTGACAAAGCAGAAACATGCACATAAATTGGACATACGAGAAAAACTTGGAAGCTTAGCTATTCAACCTATTTCATTTAGCATAAAGGCAACTAGTTGTTTTTCAGTTGGCACAAAGATTAACGTAAGAATTTTACCTTCGTGATATCTCTAATAGAGTGATGTCGCATGTCAATATGTTTGGTTCTTAAGTGTTGGATAGGGTTCTTTGAAATGTCTCCAAATGGTATGCATTGGCATATTCAAGTCAAGCAACATGAGTGAAGACATCATCAATGTTAACGCCTTCAAGTTAAGAGTAACCTTGAATAACAAGTCTGGCCATATTTTTGATTGCATTTCCTGACCCAACATACTTGTTCATGTATATCCATTTAGTACCAGTATTGTTGATGATTGATGGACGAATGCCAATGGACCAAACATTTCTTTCAAGATGATTTGGCTTTTCCTGAACAACGGAGATCCATTTCTCATCAGTCAACGCTTCTTTGATGTACTTTAGTTCAGATTCAGAAACAAATCACACATGATCAGTCCTGATTTTGACCAGAGCAGGAGAACCATATATAGATTCATTCAGTGTGACATGTATTCAGTGAGAAATTGATGTGAACTGTTATATTTCTCTCTCAAGACGCACATTCAGGTGAACAAAAAGTAGTCATCCACAATTAGTAGACATAAATTGTTCCCATTCATAGATGGAGGTAGAATTGGACCAACAAGATTCATGTGTATTACCTGAAGAGGCATGAATGTTCCAGTATTAGACAATTCCTTGAGGGACATCTTAGTTTGTTTCCACAAAAACCATGACCCACAAACACAAGAGTCAGAGATAAAATGATGTGGCAACCCTCTAACAACCTTTTTCTTGTATAATATGTGTAGATCCTTGATGTTCACATGACCAAATCGTCTATGAAACAACACACTCGTTTCATCAATTGCTTGGTCGAACAATGAAGATTTACCAATTTTAGAAGCATCAAGGATGTAACATCTATCTTTGGACTTTGGGAAGACAAGCATATTATTTCCAATTTTATCGACAATCCGATAGTCACTTTTGGAGGAATACATTTCATCAGCCATTTTGTCACACAACTGACTAATATTGATAAGGCTTAACTTCAACCCATCCATATATCCGACATTCTTTAGCTGAGGAAAATCAAGAATATTGACAGCACCCTATTCAGTTAATTGAGACTTGTCCCCATAACCAAACACAACGTCACCACCATTAAATGGAGCACAAGACAAAAAGACATCTTTGTATCTGGTTATATAATGAGAACACCCATTGTCAAAATGCCACACATTCAGTTTGGTAACTGAAAGTGCATTAAGTATCACAAGACATTTATTAGAAACTTTCTTGATCCATTTAGAGCTTGGCTTCACATGATTCGAACTAGATAATTGAACAAGTTGTGAAATTTTGTTAGTTTTAATGACTAGTTGATCAGCCTGACCATCCAATGTGTCATTCTTACCAATTTGAAACAGCCAATACCTTGGTTGAATATGACCCACTTCATCACAGTGATGACATGTAGGAAAGAATCTTCTCACTGGATTAGGATTGACTTCAGTTGCCACAAGCTTTGATTCATTTACACACTTTGTCTTGGTAACCATAGAGCTTTTATTTCAACGGAACCAAGACCACTTTTATTAGCATATGGCTTCCCAATACTCGAATATTTTTTCAACCTTTTCAACTCCAATGATTAGTTGAATGACCATGTTGTTAGCATTTTTCAATTTGGTTAATTGCGTCAAGTTCATCTCATGGTATATTACATTGTTGGCCTTCAATACATGAACTTGATTTAGCTTGTTTTCTTGAGATTTCTTTAAGTCCTGAACTTGAGCGTCAAAGGCAGCGACAACTTGAGCGTAGAGCCTCTTCCGTTTAGAAACTTGACTTAAGTCCCAAGAGAAATAATTTTTTCACCCAGTTTTATTCCGACAAGTTGGAGTGACTCATTTTCTTTTTGCAGCTCAAAGACTTTTCTGGACAACTCAACATTATCCACTTTAGCATCATCTAACACATGTTCATCAGCACTGAGTTGGCCTTCTTCCACTTAAGCAACAAAAGCAACAATTTGTGCTTCATTATCAGATGACTGGTCAAATTGTTGAAAGTGTTTACTCTTACAATCACTTGAAGGTTCCATAGCTTTATCTCCTATGTAAGCTGGTTTTTTAAAGCTATTGGCACACACATCAGCACAATGACCAGCTCTACCACAAGTGAAGCACGATCCAGGCTCACTCGAAGATGTTGCATCTCTAAGATTGAAAAGTTTTGCTTGCTTCTTGTCAAAAGACTTATTTTCTTGTGATTGAAACCTTG